TGTAAAAATAAATAAATAATAGCTGAGCACTAGACTGGGTGAGTCAGTGCCTATGTAAGACACTCAAAACATAAATTTGAGTCGTTACAAAACAACATTTTTTATCGTCATCATTTTTGAAGTTTTTTACTCTTTTATATGATAACATACATTTTTAATTTCATATTCCTAAACAGAATATTAACCGGAGTATTTCCATTTTTAAAAAGGTGGGTAAGTGGATGTCGCTCTGCTGTACTGTAGGTTACAAGTGGGTCACTGTATGATGGATGGTATTAAATTTGAATTCAATGATATAATATCATTGTATAAGAAAAACGATTCTGAGCGGAGGCGGTATGTCAGTCTAGGTATAAGACATATTATATACTTATTTATGGTATTAAATTATATGGAATTTATGAATAAATTATTCATTGCCCCTTAAAATATGCACAGTCTTATCATTGAGCATACTTCTTATTCCTTATACTATGGTAGATTGTATGGATAGGCCATAATGTGTTGATTTTTCAGTTTCATATATCCCCGAATAATATTTTTAAATTACAACAAAAAACCAAGATCGTTAATATTGATTTTAATATGTAATTTCGTCCAAATTTGAATTTAAAATGTCTGTAAAAAATAACTGTGTTCATATATTGCTTAGATTTTTTGGTTACAGTATGAATTATTTAAGAGAATCTTTGTTTTAAATTTTCAACTCTTAGTTATAAAAACTGAACATTTTATAATTTTTTAATTCCAACGATTGATAATTTTCGAGATTTTGATAAATTTTGTCAAAATTCCAACTTTAAATGCTTATAAAAAAAAATCGTGCCAATGTATTTTTAATATTTTTCAACTGATATTGTAACAATATATTAGTAGCCTTGTATTAAATTTTTACACTTTTTGGCCCAACAGATAAAACTTTATTGATATTTATAGAAAAAAAAAACTAAAAAAAATTGAAAGCTGTAAATGTCCATAAACAGCTCAAAAAGAGTCAAAATATTTTCAAAATTGTATGGTGTATAGGAAATGCTAATATAAACATTCAGTGAAATTTTCATGTATCTACAGTTATTCGTTTTTGAATTACAACAAAATAAGGAAATCGCTACATGAGAAATCGAGTGAACATCCCATGTTGTAAAAATTTGAATTTCAAACGCTCATAAAAATTTAATTTGACATTCCGGTAGAGATTTTTTTATTGATAAAGGTAGACAAACTTATGAGTAATCTTGTATTACATTTTCAAATCTTAGATTTAAAAAGAAAATTTTTACGAATTCTTAACTCAAAATAATTTGATAATTTTCGTGATTTTTCCATATTTTGTCAATTTTTGAACTTTAAATGCTTATAAAAAAAAATTGTGACTAACGATTTTTAATATTTTTCATCTGCCTTTGAAACAACATATTAGGAGCCTTCTATTAAATTTTCAAGCTTTCGCAACCAACAAATAAAATTTTATTGATATTTTTAGAAAAAAAACTAAAAAAAAATGGAAAATGAAAATGTCCCTAAACAGTTCAAAATAAATCAAAATATTTTGAAAATGTTATCGTGTATAGAAAATGCAATTATAAACAACCAGTGAAAATTTCATGTATCTACGGTCATTTGTTTTAAAGTTACACCAAAAACCAAATTCGATTTTTTGGAAAATCGATTTTGCGTAAAAATTCCCGTTTTTCCTTAATTTTTATGTTGTTTTTCCCGGCGCTTGTGAAAACTACTGGAAAATGTTTACTTTTGACCCCCCAAAGTACCAACTAGATTCACTTTCCTATCAGAAAAGGTACTATTGAAGAAAATCGAAGCACTTTTACTGTCCCAAAACGTGATGACAGACACAAAAATAAAAAAATATAAAAATATAAAAATATAAAAAAAAACACACATCATTGTAAAACCAATACATTCATCGCTCCGCTCAGAATCTAAAATAAAATTTCAGATTAGTAGTTTATTAGTTATAAGTATTTAATGTTTAGATGAGCGGATTAATGGACCGACATTTAAAGTATACCCTTGCTAACTCCCCTTCGCACAACTAAACTTTAAAGTTAAAATACTTATGATTTATGAAGATATTAGCGCACTTGTTTGTTTTTTTATCTCTGATTCACGTTTATGTTAAAATTTGCGTTCAAAAGAACGAACCTTGTGTTATTAACTTTAGTATCAGAGTGAATTGAAGTATATTATCAAACTTAAAGTTAAGAACTTTATCTGTCTTCTTAAAGTTCTTATGTTGGCATTCTGTATACGATATTCCAATTTTAATCCGAGCTATGAGAATCACCATTCACCACGTAAATGTTACAATTTAAAAATATACTCATATATCGTTTTAAAATTGAAATATAGTAGGAAATCCAATGAAAGAACAGAGACCATATTCTTAAATTTAAGTTTGATAATACTCACAGTTTAATTTACTCTAATACTAAAGCTAATAAGTAACAACACAGGCCTGGTTCTGCTAAACGCAAATTTGTTATGTTGTGCGAGAGTCAGTCTGTTTGGAGAGAGAAAACAAATAATGTGCTGACATCCTCTAAAAACTCATTAACGGTTCTCATTCAAAATTGAATTTATATAATTCAAAGAGCTTTAAAATATATTTTGCAATGGAATAAGGATTTCAAAAATATGTATGTTGTAATTAAAAAAACTAAAAATAACAACGATAAAAAATAATAAAAATATTATTTTTTGTATAAAATGTTGTTTTAAACGACCTTTAAATTATGTAAAAAAATATTTTCAAAAACGTTAATGGTTTTTGAAAGAATGAGAGGTTGAAGTTAAATGTCAATCACCTGGTAGATAATTTATTGTGAAATTTCCTCTTTACAATAAATTATTATTATTATTATTATAGACTGATATTGTACCCACGGTGCGTTATAATGTACAAATATAAATAACTAGATACCTACCTATTATTTTGTAACCATAAACACATAATATTGTATATTATTCTATATAGTATAGGACATAGGTATAAACTATAAGCTATAATGTATTGTACTTTTACGTTCTAAGTTATTATTATTTATTATTATCATTATTATTGTTATGATAATATTAGGTATTATTATTTATGCGCCGCGTGCCCGGTTTAAGTTAGAATAATGCATTTTCCATTTGGAGAGGGAAAACGCGTGGCCTTAGGGCGCCATAATATCGACAAATTTAATATAATGTGCAAATATTATACACATAATACATATGCATATTCATATTCATGCATATGTATAGGTAAGGTTTATTGGCTCTGCCATACATGTAAGTATGTAATACATACAAGTATAGGTATCTACATAATTTTATGTTTACGTAATAATGTTCGACTTGCATTTTTTTTTTTTAATTATGCAATTTGCACGGTGTGACGAAAACGTACACAACAACAACGTTTTATTAAATTATATGAAAATTATAATTAATCAATAGTTATAACAATAAATTAATAATAGCCTCTTACCTGCGTCAAGGCGTTAGGCGGCATTCCACTACCACCGTATCCTGCGTATAGACCGTGTGGTCCATGCAGTACACAATTTTCTTTTCATTCGCTAAATTAAATTGTATTGTTTAGTTTAGGACTTCAGATAAAACAATTTCTCTAGTTACATATTAATAACCACAGGTTAGGTAGTTAAATATTTTCAAGTTTCAACTGGTCGATGTAACTTTGTATTCGGGTATTCAATATTCATCAACATAGAGAAATGTTCACGGATATAATATTATAATGGTAACGTGCACGTTATACGATATACCACTGTTTGAAATCACCTGTCAGCTGAGTCCCCATGGCGGGGGATCTTATCATTAGCTAGGGCTGTGGTTCCTTATCAGTTTTTACAAATTTAATGTTTGATGTTCATCAAATTCAACTAATTCAAGTATTCAAGTATTCAACATTGAATCACTATTCACTACGTTTTCGTATTTTTGGTCTTCAAATTATTCAGTTCTCGAAAATACAAAATATACCCAATTATTTATTTAGTCAAACACGGGTAACCATTAAATATTAATAATGGTGCGTACCTTCTATATAAATATATAATGTTGATAGTATATACTTAATTTACATTTTAATGTATAATACTTACCTATGTCATTCTCTATCTAATAAATATTAATAATATACTAATATATTTGACATTATTATTTATTATCTAAGGGCCCGTATTACAATAGTTAAGCTAAGGTTAAACTGTGGAATTCGGCCGGTAATATTGGTGGGTTAAGCATAACTGAGGTTTAAACTATGACTGTAAAACGGGCCCTTGTCTTATATTGGTACTAATCTGAGTAAAGAAATTTAATTAAACAATTATTATTACCTACTGTCCAATAATAATCTAATAGGTGTATATTTTTATTTTATAATACAGTCAATAAGTAGTTACTGTAATAAGTAATAACACTGTCTACAATTGTTGAAGTATAATATACCTTGGTACACCAATATTTATTTGGTGTTACATTATAATATGTTATTGTAAAATAAAATATTGATTAAACTTAATTATTTTGTAATTACTACATACCTATTATTATAATGATAATCTCATATCCTATAGACATTGTGATAAAGTTATTGAATTGTAAATACATTCTAAAGTCATTGATATCATTTTTTTTTTTAAAGCTATATTAATAAATATTCGATTGAACAGTAAGAACTAATTAGTTAACTAGGTAGCCTTTTTTTATTAATTTACTTTACTCAAATAAGTATTTTGATAATTTTTGTAAGTTAGGTAGGTATATCCAAAATTTTTTTGCAAACTTGGTACCAATATAATCTAAGAATATTTTTTTTACAAATTATGTTGTACCCATGTACTAGATAAATTATTATAATTAATAATTAATAAGCATTGTATCTGTATTAATTAGTACCTATTAATATACAAATTTATTTAAGGAAAACTAGTATAATATGTCTTATACTATTTTTTGATGTCAAGAATGTGATGTTAAAAAAATTACTAATATCAACTTACAAGCCTACATTAACGTCAAAGAACTTAATTTCATTACATTTGAGTTATAATAAAAAGAAAATGAGTACATTGGAAAATGTTATTGATGGTTTAAATGATGTTAGATGTAGAATCAAAGTTGCGGCTCAAAAACGAAAGGAGGTAATAATGTATTTTTAACTTATTTATGAAAAATAATTTTTTTTTAAATACAATTATGAACTAGGTATGTATATTATATATTCAGGGAAATGTGGAACCAAGGCTAGTTGCTGTTAGTAAAACAAAACCTATAGAACATATTATTGGCATTTACCAGAAAGGTCAAAGACATTTTGGAGAGAACTATGTCCAAGAATTGATTACTAAATCATCTGATGTTGAGGTAGGTATATCTATTATTTAATATTGAGTTTGTTCTTTAATAATTATCATCTTAATTTTTAACAATTATTTGTAATTTGTAAAGTTATTAGAAAAATGTCCTGACATCAAATGGCATTTTATTGGTCACATACAAAAAAATAAAGTTTCAAAAGTATTGATGGCTCCTGGCTTACATGTTATTGAGACAATAGATAGTGAAAAATTAGCAAATGCTGTAAATGATGGATGGAAAAAACTCAATAAAGAAAGTAAATTGAAAATAATGGTTCAAGTTAACACTAGTAATGAAAAAGGTTAGTACAATCAAAAATCTTAATATTGTTGTTATGCAATTTATTACACCTAATATTATACTAAAAAAACGAACACTGAGGTACATACTTTTTTAATGTTTATTATTTTACAGAAAAATCTGGTGTAACAACTGATACAGTAGTAGATTTATATAAATTTATTATTGAGAAATGTGGCCATTTAGAACTGATTGGTTTAATGACGATTGGTCAATATGGTTATGATTGTTCTCAAGGACCAAATCCAGATTTTTTGGTATTTACATATTATTTTAATCTATAATGGTCATTATTTATGATTTTATGCATTTTTAGGCTTTGGTTGATTGTAAAAGAGATGTTTGTGATAAATTAAAATTAAATCCATCCGAAATCGAATTATCTATGGGCATGTCTGATGATTTTGAACATGCCGTAAGTATACAATTTAAGATTTATAATATAAATTAATATATATAATAAGTTTATTATGTTATTAATTTATTGTTATTTTTTCTCTAAAATGTATACATAAAACCAAATATTATTATGTAATATTAAGTATCATTGTATATTTTTGATATTTCAGATTGAATTAGGAAGTACAAATGTCCGAGTAGGAAGTAGTATATTTGGTTTCCGAGCGAGAAAAGAAAAACAATGATTTTTTGGTAATAATAATTCATTAAAAAAATATGTTTGATATAGGTATCTTATATTTTTTTAATTTGATTCAACACTTAATCATTGTAAACAATAAACATCTTAATATTACTGAAGTTTTAATAAAAATATATGTTAACCATAAATGTACTTAAAAAAATTCTAATGATATCAAATTATGTTAAATGTAAAATTATAAAAAAAATAATAATCTGTAAAACTGTTATCAACTATTTTTATTCAATTTTTTCTTTAGAAAATTATTATTTTAGAGATTTGCATGATTTATGGAATCTCTGTACAATTTTTATGCTGAGAAATGACTGAGCTTAAATAAAGCTGCCAAGTAGGTAAAGGTTACCATTCTGCTGTATAGTAGGTGTCAATGGTACCTCGTAATTGTGTAAATCATCAACCTTTTTACTTTGGCAACCCCCTTTTTAAATTTCAATTTTTTAGCTACCCCTACATATATATTTTTTACATACTCGTATGATTTAAATCATTTGATTGATACCATAAATAATAAGTTGGCGACCCCAGGGCCCCAGGTTGAGAAACACTGGTGTAGATCACTGTAATGGATGTGTTACATTTGAATTCATTGATAAATTATTAAACACGAAAACCAATTTTGAGTGAAGACAGTCTATTATTTGGTATATTCTCATATCCATATTGCTTTTTAAACTTTAAAGAAAGTCAAATTTTAACTTCAAATGTTTTTAAAAAAAATTGTGCCTATGTATTTTTAATAGTTTTGAATTTCTATAAGAATCACTTATCTGAGTACTTAAATTAATAGTTCAAGATTTTTATTTTCAAGCAAATTTTTATCAACACTAAAAAAACTAAAAATGTCAAGTCTCTATGCCTATAAATAGCTTGACATTTTTTAAATATTTTTTTAAATTTAATCGAGTATAGATAATATAGAAAATGATAATTTAAGTATAGTAGAATATTTCAGGGGTTCTATAATCAATATTTTTTTAAATAACTAAATAACAAATATTGGTTGAGAATATATCATTATTATCTGATTAAATAGGTATTATGAAATGTTGTAAAAATATTTTTGTGACATTGCACTTAACTTTATTTTTAATTTTCATTAAATAAACTTATGAAGAACCTTGTAACACATTTATAAGTGTTTAAATTTTTGACTATAAATACATTTTATTTTCTTTATTGAGCTTGAGCCCGGCAACTTATGCCATTAACTGTTGGTTTTTTTTTTTGTTTATTGGTAGGTTGTTAGTAAAGGGAGGAACGGTTGAAAACACGTTTTTGTATGTGTGGCAAGGATTTGGTGCTAAAAATCCTGGGGGGTCACCCATCCGGGAACTACCAACGCCGGTCGTTACATACACAGTGCGTTTTCGCAGTTGAGTGTACGCACTGCTTTACACCAAGCCAGCCACTAAATAAAATTATTGTTGCTATTTTTTAGTTGATACTTAAATCATAAAAAACTAAACAATTAAAAATATCACCAAGAGCTAAAATATATTGAAAATTATACCAAGTCTGGTAAAAGTTTTGTTCCTTATTTTCTTTTTTTTTATAGATAGTTAGAATTTTCAATGTTGGCCTCCTACAAGTACCAACTAGATCTGACTTGAAACCAATCTCAAAGTTGAAAATTGAATAACTTGGTAACGATTATCTTAATAGTTGCAAGTAATATTTGAATATACTACCTACTCAGAATTAACTATTTTTAACAGCCAATAATCGCTTAGATGATTTCTGATCTCATCCGCAGGTCTCTTCCAAAATGAAGTTCAATTTTTACAATTGAAAAAATATGATCTATCAATTGTTAAAATAAGCCTCTATAGGTGTTAAATATTAATAGATTTAAAAATTAATCCTTAGAATTTACGAGACAATTAATCCATCTATTAAGTATTTTATAGTATTAGACATCCGTGATATAGGTAGATATTTTTTTTTTGTTTTATCATAAGTGGGGCAGTAATCATATTATATCTTAAGTTATCAAATTTACTTATTATGTTACTATACGGACTGTAAATTGTCTTTGTTTTTAATTTAAAAACAAATCGCTGAAGTTGATACTAGGCAGAACAAAGCATTTTTCTAATTTTGAATTACACTTTAAAATATACCCATTATTAACGATTAAAGAGGCATCTACTTACTTGTGTGACAGTGCAATAGTGCATTGTGCATTTTTAAGTCGATAATAATACATTCAAGTATAAAGAAAAAAAAAATAAAGATAGAAGGTTTTATTATTAGTAAGAAAATTTACAATGTGTAATTAATTATATACTTAGCATAAAATAACACAAGGAAAATTTTTATTTTATCAAATGAAAATAAATTTAAAACACATGCAATCTAATATTTTAAATGAATATACCCTATTAAGTTAATAATTTGGTACGTTTTGAAGGTATGACTGTATGAGGAATTATAAAGATTTATGCAATAAAATATTTATAAATAAAAATGTTGTTTAAATTAATTTTCTCAAACCATAAATAATAAAACCAATACCTGTTTTTTTTTTGGTCTTTACTTAAGCTATTATTTAAATTTACATTTACTCTAACAAATATTTAACATTTTAGTTTGAAGTTCCTACTTTGTTTTTACTTGTTATAATTTATAACTTTTAAAATAAAATGTGTAATAAATGAGGTAATGAAAGTATAATATGACGATGAAACTTTATTATAACATCTAATGATTTTAACTTTTATAATATAATATAAATGATAATATTGATAATAATTAATAAATATCATGTTTATATAAATAGTACATTAAATTAAATAAATACATTAATAAAACGTGTGTATGTAGTATGGTGTATAATAAAAATTACATAAATAATTAAATTAAGTATGTTGTAATAGAAAAATACATGTAAAATGTTATAATAATTGTACTATTTTAGTACATACTTTTAGTAAGCACCAATGATATATTTTTTAATGCTTAGTTTCAATGATATATATTTCATATATTTTTAAAAAGGGAGTAAATGCGATTGTTGTGATATTGAGCATATTGTTATATAATAATAATTTAATAATAAATTTGTTTTAATTAAAATGTGACTAGATTAAAATATAACACAAAAATGATTTTAAGTCATTTAACAAATTTGTTTGTTTTGATAAATAAATATAATATTAATCAATAATCATTTATATATATATATATAAAGGTAATAAAATAAAATAAAATAAAAAAAACGGTTTACGTGTGAAGAACATAAATACAATAATTATAAAAAATTTATATGGCAGTCTCAAGAGTTCAATAAAAGCACATAAAAATTAGTATTCTTACACAATAAATTATATAACGCAAAAATTGAAAAAAGTGATTGATATCCACATTTTTTTCAGCATATTTTAAGTAGTATTAATGCAAATTTTCAGGAATAATATTACGACTTTTCATGTAACCAACTAGTTGAGCCGGTATTTCGGCTAAAACTTCGCGGGCTAGGTATGATTTGGCATTCATCGGATTTTCGATTTGTTGAAAGTTTTTAAATGGCACAAACTGAACTATATCTCTAGCGGCACAGACTCCATTGACTTCTAACTTAACTGTGTCACCATCCAATTCTTCCATCGATTGAAAATCAGCATTTCCCACTCCTACAATGATAATGGACAGCGGCAGCGTGGACGCTTTGATTATGGCCTATAGAATATAATCTGATTTATCAATCTAGTTTTCCAATTGTAATGCTAACAAACTACAGTAGGTATGCAACATTTTTGGTGAAAGTGGAAAGATCTGCATCTATTGAACTTATAAGATAATTAAAAATTGATTTTGACCCCATTGGTAACCGATTTAAACAAAAAACAAATTACCATACATGATAATATTATTTTTTATGTATAAATGTTGCCTATATATAGGTATACACAAATAGTTTGTAATGTTTTCTTTATTGGCATTCATCAATAGATACAATAGACATCACAATATAAACTAAACAATGTATAGCAAACAACAAATAGGTAATAATTATTAATTATTAAAATTAACAATAGTGTATTGATTGTGCTCAACAATTTGTATCATAAAAAAACCTTTATCAATTACAGTTTTAATTCAATTGATTTTTAACTATTCAAGTAGTGTCGGTTTTTAAAGAGAAAATATTTAAAATTAAAATGGATTTATAATGTAGATCAACATCTTATATTTATGTATATGTATATTAGATATGAGATCACAATTACTATTAGATGGCCCTATTAATAAAATAAATAAGTACGGGGAATTTGATTACTTTTACAGTGTGTGATTAAATGATTACACTTTCTATGATAGGTCATATAAAATATTTACTCTTATAAGAAATTTGTCTGCATTAATTAAATCTGGTTTATATAGAACCTAATATTTTGGTAGTAAAAAAATTATTTTATTAATACAAATTGCTTTGGTTCTTTTCAAAAGGCAAACAATTAATAATAATGTAATTTATAACCTTATAAACAACTTAAAGTATAGCATAGGTTAATAGGTTGATATTCAAAAAAGTATAAATGCTTTTGGAAATATTTGTTTACATAAAAAAACTATACTCATAACAAATTTTTTTATTATTTATTGTTACAGTTTTTACTTGAAATTATGAAGAATATTTTTCATATATTTTGATGTATAAATATAGAATATTTAAATATTTAAAGTTTAGATGAACAGAGTAGTGGTCTTTGATTTTGTGTTTTACCCTAGTGTCATTCTAAGATGATCTCTTTAAATGTATTAAACTAATTAACTACTCCTTCAACTATTGATTTGTATTCAGATATACTTAGAAAAATATTCTGATTTAGAAGATTAAATTAAAAATGTACACTGTTGTTCAAAAAGTGAAAACTTTAAAATTATACCAAACAAATTTCTCAAAAAAAATTATACTGTGTGAAGATAATGAGATTCTTATGTTAAAAGAATCGTCCTACATAATGGAAACTAATTTTTTATTGGAAAATTGTATTAAACAAATTTTAAGACCCCACCTAATATTGTAAAAAATTAAATTTTTAAATGTTTTTATTTTAAATATGAGGTATACAGAAAGTTTTGACAAAGTATTTTAAAATAAAGGTCTAATCATGTTTTTACATACATAAACTTACATTTTGTATAGAAAATAGTTTATGATTATAAGAAAAAAAAATAATAACTTGTAATACTTATTTTACAATTTATTTAAATGTCGAAGTAAAAACACAACCAACAAATTAATAAATACTAAATAGGCTGAATAGTATTAAACATTAAACAGGCAACAGAAATTCCCAATTAATATTAACATATTTTAGATTAAGAATAAGAAAATGTCTAAATGAATCAATAGACTTATTGTTACGAATGTGTTACATTAGGTCAATAGGATTAAACCATATTGCACATGGTTTTATTTTTTTTGAGATTCTTGTTCCCAAAAGTGTCAGATTTTAAATTATAAAAATTCAAAATAAAAAAAGCCGGCCAAGTGCGAGTCGGACTCGCGCACGAAGGGTTCCGTACCAATAATTTTGTAACTTAAAATGATTCACTATAATTCTGTATTGAAATTTATAAAAAGAATCTTTGGATACGACGTCACTCATGGCAACCATTTATTAACAATACGACGTCACTCGTGGTAACTATTTATAAACAAAAATTTCCATCCGAAATCTCAAAATTCCTGTTTTAGCACCCCCCGGGGTTGCTCCTATCCCTTTTTTTTACTATTTTTTGTTATAGCATCCACGGAAATACATAATCTGTGAAAATTTCAACTTTCTAACTCTCATGGTTCATGAGATACAGCCTGGCGACAGACGGACGGATAGTAATAGGGCGAAAGTAATAGGCTTCCGTAGGGAAACGTACGGAACCCTAAAAAACCTATTTCCTGAATTTTTCCTCTAGTTTCTCAAGCATTTTTACTTAAAGCTTAATGATGGATCTATATGGTTTTAACTGATAGACAATTAAGCCAATATTTGAAAATGAAATACTTACTCAGCGTAAAATTTGTTTTATATAACACTTTGATTGTGTGGTATAACTAAAATATTTTTAAACAATTTTTGAAAAACAGTGTATCACACAAATTAATACTTTTTACATTTTTAAATATAACACTGAAACAAAATATTTCCACAGTAAAGCTAAATTATTCTATATTCATTTCATTTGGATTTGTTGTATACAAGTTATTGGTTAATTCTTAAAAATAAAAAATATTTTTAGTTGTAGCTGAATTGAGCACTGATTTTAAATAATCTTTTAATAAAACAAAAAGTTCTTTTTGAATACAAATTTAAAACAAAACATGATAAATAAAATAAATATAATATAATAACCTACTACCGAGTTGCATAAACAATCACTAAACATTTACGAATTAATAAATATATGGTGGCTAAAGGTCCTTTAAACATTATTTAGGGGTCCATCAAATTTTAGAAAATCATGCAATTTATTGATTTTTTATGCAATTTGGCATAGTCACATTGAAGAAACTTATCAGTAAATAATTAAATAACAATAAAACAAAACAAAACCAAAATGAGAATGGTAGTAAAGTATTTAAATAATAATAATAATATGAATATTTTCTTGGTATAAATGCATACAAATTCAACAGATTTCGTTTTCAGACTTATTTAAAAATACCAATAAATATTAAATATTTTGTAAGCAATTAGCACAGAAGTAAAAAGGCTTAATTATTAATCGGATGAGTGTAAAATAATGTATGATTGTCACAATATCAATTGAAATAGAATAAATATGATTTATTGTGGCACACAATTTAAAGACTTGGGATCTATAATAAATATATAAAACTTTATTTTTTTAAATTTTTTGGAATGATATTTTTAGATTTCATGTAGCCTACAATCTGATTGGGTATTTCAGCAAGCACCTCTCGGGCTAAATTTGCCTTGGCTAAAGTTGGATTATCACATGACTGGAAATCTTTAAACGATACAAATTGTGTAATGTCTCTAGATGCGCGTACACCGTTGACTTCTAATGGAACCGTATCAGCATCCAGTTCTTCCATTGCATCAAAATCTGCATTACCTACCCCCACTATGATAATTGACATAGGCAAAGACGACGCATGGATTATGGCCTAAATAATATTAGTTAAAAATGAGCAAAACCCCTTCAATCTACTTTTATGAGCACTTAAATTTATCATTCCTATACTTAAAATCATAATTAACATTTGTGATAATTACCTGTTTAGTGTGGAACATATCTGTTATAACACCATCAGTTATGATCAGCAGAATAAAATACTGTGTTCCATCTTGGTATGCTTGGGCAAACTTTGCAACATGGTTAATTACTGGACTAAAGTTTGTCGGACCAAATAACTGAACACTCCTAATGCAATGGTGGTATGCATTGATCACACCTTAACATTTAACATCACTTTAAATTTAATTTAAAAATAACTAAAAAAAATTACATTATTTTAGGGCACATTAATTTATGGTCTCACTTATTGGTAAATGTATTATTAATGTTATCAATACTTTACTATACTACACCGGGTGATCCATTTAACGTAAGACACTTATTATTTCAAAAACTATTAACATATTAAAAATATTTTAAGTCTTAAATAAAAACATTTTTATTATTTTCCAAAGCAGAATATTTTTAGAAGTACTTTGATACATAAAAATAAAATTTTGGATTAGTTGCTTATGAGTTATAAGAGTGGCTTTAAATACTAGTGACTATAGCCATGATAATAAGCAGGGCTCGTAACTTCATGCACTAAAAAACGCATAAATAAGCATGCATTCATGCACTAAAAATTGTCAAAATATGCATTAAAATATGCACTTAAAAGTTCGAAAATATGCATTTATATGCCTTAACATTTTTAAATTATGCACTCAAAATATGCATACAAAAAAAACATGACCAAATTTTAAAATAATAAGAATAAATCCATACATTTTAAAAGTATTTTATTCCTTTTAATTTTTATATATTTAACAGTCAAAATTAATAAAATAAAAAATAAAATTAATACTTGTGAAGTTCAAATAGCTTTGTCATCTTTATAAATTTTAATTAAGTAGTCATTTTTGTCTAATTTGTGTACACCCTTATTCAGCACCAACAATGAAAACATTTGGAATGAAATATTAAGTATTTCATTTTGAGATAATTTAGTAATATATATTTTGTAAGTGTTTTTTTTTATGTTTTCCAACTTAAGAGGGCACACTAGTAGACAAAATATGGCATAAAACCATGGTTTCGTAATTCAAGTAATACGGCTTATTGAAGTGGTTTACAGTAAAAATACCTATTATAAAAATTGTAGAGAAGAACTTTTTTAACAATCGTAAGAAGCCTGATTTTCGATATTTTTATTAATTAGCTAAATAATTAATCAATAAAAAATTTAAAAACCGTTATAATTTACCATGCTATATTGGACGATTGGAACAAGATATAAAAAATCGGAAGGAACTCTTCAAATATTTGTCTAAAAAATATTTTTATGAAATAATATGCACTAACGACTGTAAAAAATCAACTATATGCCAAATATGACTTTACACCCAAAACATGCAAAAACATGCACTATCAAACTTCATATCAATATTACTATTGTTATGAAACGGATTTGTATCTCAGTTAGCATGTTTTCCTGTGTAGCAAAAAAAACATGCAGATGCATGAACTTACGAGCCCTGATAATAAGTATTTAAAGTTTAGATGAGCGGACTGGAGTGCTAAGGGGTATACAAAAATATGTTGGTCCACTATTAATCTAAGGTTTGAATACATTTAATTAATAAACCACTTGTCCAAAATTTGATTTTAATATATCGAAATACTCCGAATAATAATAGGCTTCGGAATATAAAATTAAAATATGTTGTCCCCCCCAAAAAAATTAAAAAACTCAAGAAATGAAAATGATAAAAAATGGTAAAAATATAATTTTTTGCCAAAAATGTCATTTTATTATGACTTAAAATTATGTAAAAGAAATATCTTTTGAAATAATCATGTAAGTGCACTGTTGTTTTCTCTCTCTGGCACATACGACAAAACTCAAGGAATATATATATTTTTTTAGTAATCTTAGAGTAAAATTACCCATTAAAAATACGATAGATAACAATATTTTTGAGGGTAACACATATCGATTTGACTAAATATAATGCAAAAATAATTTAAGATTACTTTTTAGATTCTGAGTGGAACGATGAATATATTGATTTTACAATGATGTGTTTTTTTTTTTTTTATTATTTGTGTCTGTGTACTTAGTAGTCAATTCCTTGATTTTCAACTTCAGTATCTTGTTCAATTGGAGAGTGAATATCGTTGGTGCATTGGGGAGGTCAAAATATAAAATTCCCAGTAGTTTTTAAAAGCGCCAAGAAAAACAAAAGAAAAAGGTGCTTTGCTGAACAGTAGGTTACAAGTGGGTCACTGTATAATGGACGGTATTAAATTTGAATTCAATGATATATCATTGTATAAGAAAAACAATTCTGAGCGGAGATGGTATGTCAGTCTAGGTATAAGACATATTATATATACTAATCTACGGTATTAAAAAAAATTAACCTATAAAAGGACCTATAATAAAATCCAAATTAATCATATCACAATATTCATTAGGTACTCATAAAGCGTTACACATCAACAACAAACCCTGATACTATCATAGATATATAATAGTGTACCTACTTTAGAATTTTCAAGTACCCACAAATAATATTATACAATCACAACAAAAAAACTAAAATAGTTATTCTAGGTTTTTTTTATGTAATTTCGTCCAAATTTTAACTTAAAATGACTATAAAAATAAACTGTGACAATGTAATTTTTAGATTTTTTGGTAACAGAATTAACTACTTACGTGGAATCTTTCTATAAATGTTCAATCCTTAGATATAAAAGTAGAACATTTTATACATTTTTAACTACAAAATAATTATTCAATTTAAAATTTGAAAAATTTTTGTCAAAATTCGATGTATATAAAAAAAAAATGTGCCCATGTATTTTTAATATTTTTCAATTGTTATTGTAACAATTTATCAGGAGTCTTGTATTAAATTTTTACACTTTTTGGCCCAACAGATAAAACTTTATTGATATTCAAAGAAATAAAAAGAAAAAAATTTAAATATGAAATTGCCCATAAACAGCTCAAAAAGAGTCAAAATATTTTCAAAAGTGTATGGTGTATAGGAAATGCTAATATAATTATTCAATGAAATTTTCATGTATCTACATGTTATTTGTTTTTGAATTACAACAAAATAAGGAAATCGCTACATGAGAAATCAAGTGAATATCCAATGTTGTAAAAATTTGAATTTCAAACGCTCATAAAAATTTAAGTTGACTTTCTTGTAGAGATTTTTTTTTTGATAAAGGAAGATAATCTTATAAGGAATCTTGTATTCAATTTTAAAATCTTAGATTTAAAAAGAAAAATTTTTACGAATTCTTAACTCAAAATAATTTGCTAATTTATGTTATTTTTCCATATTTTGTCAATTTTTGAACTTTAAATGCTTATAAAAAAAAACTGTGACTAAGGATTTTTAATATTTTCATCTGCCTTTGAAACAATATTCTAGGAGCCTTCTATTCAATTTTCAAGCTTTTTTAACCAACAAATCAAGTTTTATTGATATTTTTAGATAAAAAACTAAAAAAAAAAATGGAAAATGAAAATGTTCATAAACAGTTTAAAATAAATCAAAATATTTTGAAAATGTTATCATGTATAGAAAATGCAAATATAAACAACCAGTGAAAATTTCATGTATTTACGGTCATTTGTTTTAAATTTACAACAAAAACCAAATTCAATTTTGTGAAAAATCGATTTTACGTAAAAATTCCCATTTTTCCTTAATTATTCTTTTGTTTTTCATGGTGCTTTTGAAAATTACTGGGAATTTTAAATTTTAACCTGTCCAATGCACCAACGATATTCACTTTCCAATCGAACAAGATACTGAAGTGGAAAATTGAAGCATTATTTCGATTACTTATCGTGTACACAGACCCATATAAAAAAAAAAACACACATCATTGTAAAATAATCAATACATTCATCAAGCACAGTTTATTTTTATAGTCATTTTAAGTTCAAATTTGGACAAAATGACATATTAAAATCAATATTAACGATTTTAGTTTTTTGTTATGATTTAAAAATATTATTCGGGGATATATGAAACTGAAAAATCAAAAAATCAAAATATTATGGCCTAACCACACAATCTACCATAGTATAATGAATAAGAAGTATGCTCAAGGATAAGACTGTGCATATTCTTTTTTATTACCATTGATATGTATATAATATGTCTTAACCTAGACTGACATACCGTCTCCGCTCAGAATCGTTTTTCTTATACAATGATATTATTTCATTGAATTCAAATTTAATAACATCCATTAAACAGTATCCCACTTGTAACCTACTTTACAGCAGAGCACTTTTTTTATTTTGATAGTCCAAATATAATGTAAAATAATAACAAAATATAAAAACGATATGTGATACCCTCAAAAATATTATCCTCTATAATTTTTGTGATAGGTGATTTTACTCTGATTACTAAAATAAAATAAAAATGAGTTTAGGTGAAAGCGTTTTATCTATGTTGAGCGTGGGCCTGAGAGAAAACAAACACTGCGCAGACTTCCTCTTAAATGGAACACCCAAAATTGGGCTTTAGATTAAATTAATATTTTATATTTACCTTCAATTCCAGAACAGTATGGATCACTGGCTTGCAAATTCAAGAAAAACTCATGGGAAACTTCTCCGTGTGGTGGAATTCGGGCACCAAAACCCAAAGCTGGAAACACTTTATCACTATCATAGTCTTGAATAATATCCCCGACAGCTACCAGTGCTTGTTCATATTGATTGGGTCTGTTACTAAGGTAATGTAAAGAATTGTGATCTTTTGGATCTCCATTCGATGCTGTTAAATGAAATATCACAAACATTATATTAAATTAGTTAAATAATAGATAACTATTTTTAGATGCTTAAGTTAAAACAGTTAGATCCATTACATAGGTATGCAACTTATTTTATTAACAAGTACAACTATGAATCTATAGATCTGAAATTGTTTTAATTTAATTTTTTAAATTTAATAGATATATTATTATAAAATATCACCTGTGAAATCTATAGCAACTGTACAATTTATTTGTGTACCGTTCATTATGTAATCAAGGAATGTGAATGTCTTTTTCAGGTCAAAATGATTCAGACGTATGCTTCCACAAATTTTCTGAAATTTATATATTCAAGCAACATTAAATTACCATCCCTTATTAGTTTACTACAGTATTATCCTACTAAATTAACTTCTTTGGATTAATAAAATCTGTACATTGATAGTATCAGATCAAAAGTTTAAGAATGCAACATATTTTAAGATTACAAAAAATGTTTTTTTATGGCAGTTTATATTATACATTGAAGGGTTTAAACTGTTTAAAGGGTAAAGTTTTATTTAAAATTTTACAAATTTTAAATTTATTTTATAACAATATTTTAAAATGTTTAATTAATTTTCTTATATGATGTTTAAAAAATAAACTTAGTAACTTACTAAATTATGTAATTAATATGTAAACTAACTTTAGGAGTTCCGCCAACAGACGGTTTCCTTCCACTTGCTTACACATGCCTTGAAAATTAATTAATCACATATACTTATTATATAAGATGTATGTATAAATTGTAAATGTATTTCTAAAAAATTTAAAAATAAACAAATATAACTATGGAATATTGTTTTTCCTTTATATACACAATCTGTTCCAAATAGGTACAATAAGAGTATAAGATAAAATAAAATAAATTACATGAATAATTGGCAAAAAAAGCCACCCAGTGATGACACTTTAAAATTATTATGGAATGTAATTAATTTGTTTATTCATTTTTAACATAGATTTTAAATCAAGCATGCTATATGAACAATTTGTTATTATAGTATGGTTTATTTATGTTTTTAATAATAACATTACATTTTATGTACTAAGGTAGTCGTTAAAAAATATTTTTTATTACATTTTAGGTTATTTAATTTATATATTGAACTAGTCTTCAATTTAATTAAACAATATTAATTAAAACACAATATTACTTACAGATGACTTAGGTTTGACACATTTATGATCATTTTCTGGACCAGGGCCTTTTTTCAATTGATTCATTGTAACATGAAATTCTCCTGCAACATTATATTTTGTAATACAAATGTTTACATTCAAGATAAAAATATTTAAATAATAATTTAGGCACTATTTTATTCTTTATTTGTGTAGAAAATAATAAATTTGCTATCAATGGTAAATAGAATTTAGATATCAAGAAAAGCTGCAGTTGTACTTATTATATATTTATATAATTATCAAGATCTCATAGTATTTAAAATTGTTAATACATTTTAAAAATAAACATAACATTTTCAATTTTAAGCTAAATAATTATTTAGTCTTACTGAATATCGATATTTATAAAATGAACATTTACCTATTAAGGAATGATTTCCATTGTATTTGAAATGATAACATACTACTTTAATGTCTCTATCAAAATCAGTACCACACAAAGAACGAACAGGTAAAGTTATTGGTTTCCAAGTAGGATTATTTGTCCAATTAACAACTTCAGTTCTATATACTAATTGATATTGTCCATCTTCACCAACTTTAAACAATTCTAAAAACGGATAAGCTTTTGCAATCCAAGAAAAAAATCTGAAAAATTAGTAAATTAAAATAAATAAATATTAAATTTATAATTGAATATTTATACACATACCTTGATACCCAATCACTTCGCTCTAAATCTTTTCCATTAAATTGTAAAGTGACTTCATCATGACATGCCGGGAGCTCTTCTGCTTTAACAATCACTTGACCTTTGTTATTAGTTTTTACTCCTTTTAGAGGTAAAGTAAGTGTTACCGAAGACACAATCTAATAAAAAAAAAGATAAGTATGATATTAAATGACTAATCAAAATAATATATTACATGTCCAAGAGTGGTTTCACACGATCCCAAAAAATCTTGGAATTTCAGATCATGCAGGTTTGAATCCACATCATATACTTCAAACTTTATCAATTGCTGAACTTCAAAACGATACAACACATGGACCTAGAAATAGGTATAGAAATATGTATTAATATTTAAGCTTCTTATCAATAAATAAACATATTACTTTTGTTACAAAATTAGGGTTTAGAGAATTATTAATACATTCAGTACGACAAATTTCAACCCATTTGGTAGTTTCTGGTGTTTTCATAAATACAACACACATTGGATCAGATTTTGAAAATACATCACAGTCCAATAAGTTTCTAAAAAAACCATATTAATATTAAAACACAAAAAAATTTCAATCATAAAAATTATTTGTTATTGAAAATGTTTTGGTGTTTAATTTATATTATATATTATATAATTTGCAATATATATATTGCATTGTTAGTTAGGTAATTGTTACTTATTATTAACAGTTTTTGCATCTGTACTAGAATTATATATGAAATACTAAAAAATTTCAGATTTTCAAAACTAAAATTATATTTCTATGTTTTTTGTATCAGTAAGAGAAAGGTTATTTGAATCTTTTCCGTTATACTTATACCATTTCCTACTTTACGGGATCTTCCTTTTTAGGGGGGATGCCAGTGATGCACGCGTTGCCCATCGCTGGACAAAAGTATCAAAAATATCCCTTGACTTGCTATTCAACACCACCTCAAGTTGGTCACAGGATAACCACAGTATATCCACTCTTAATACGTATTAAATGTATACCACTATTTAAATTAAATAGTCGTTATTAAGAGTGGATACACGGTGGTTTCCCTGTGACCAACTTGAGGTGGTGTTGCATAGTCAAGGGATATTTTTGATTTTTTGATCCGAGTGGCGATGCGGGCCTTGCTGACATGGCATACGTATAATGGAAAACATCCGGTTATTTTTATATTAAAATATTGTTAGATAAGTTCACCACTGAAACAATATATTAAGTTAATAAAGACATTTTTAAATTTCAGAAAACTTCTAGTTATTCTAGTATGGCTAAATATATTTAAAATGTCAATAGTTCAAATTTGAATAAATGTTAGAACCATTATTTTGGTTTTACAATGGTGTTTATTTTTTTAATTTTTTTTTTTATCCTGTATACAACATTTCTACCAGAAGTAGTGCTTCGATTTAAACATATAGTATATTATCTTTTAGCAAATTGGATCAAGATAGTACTTTAGAGAGGCTGTTTTTCGATTTTCTCAATAGTTATTTAATGCCACAAGAAAAACCATCAAAAAAAATTACAAAAAACCACTTAAAATGGGACTTTAATTTCTAACACTTTGCTTATCACCATAGAAACGAATAAAAATAATAATATTATAATATTAATTCAACTTACAGGCTATAATAAAATATAATAATAATATAAAATATCCAGACTGACAAACCGTCTTCGCTCAGAATCGTTTTTCTTTTACAATGGTATGATATCATTGAATTCAAGTTGAATATAATCTATTAAACATTGACCCACTTGTAACCTACTGTACATCAGAACAACATCCACTTAACCGCTTTGATGTTATTAAAATATAATTTAAAAAAAATAGTTATTTCAGAACACAATAAACCAATTATAAATTAATAACACTAATTTATACATATACATGTAATAATAATAATATTTGATATTCATAATTTTAAATTGTATTAAGGTTTACCAAGTACTGAATAAATTATTATTAATTTACTTATTCTTCTAAATTGTCACAAAGATGAATCATTCTTTATTTGTTTATTCACATTATAATATTATATAATATTATATTTAAGTTATATATATATATTACTAAATATTTAATTTTAGCTATTTTTCATTAGAGATAAGTGTGTTAATCTTGGTTTTAATATACCTTTAATTTTTTTTCATTGAATTACGCTCAATGAGTCATAATTTTATTCTGTCCTTGACAGAAAGCAAAACTTTTCCTTGGTTAAACTTACCCAACTATTAAAGAAATTATTGACAGCAAATATTAAAAACATTTGCTATGAATCATTCATCATAATTAGGTCTAGTATTTATATGCAATAAAAATTGTAAAATATGCAAAAACAATTATTATTTTATTTGTACATAACATTTAATATTTTTTACATAAAATTCAGAAATTAATAATTAATAGTTATTTATTATTATTATTTATTGTAAGTTAAAGTAGTTATTTTTATATTGATTATTGCTGTAAGTAATGATATGTTCTTTCAAATTTTGAAACAATAACTGACTGGTGATTGAAACGAAGCATGGATTTATATTGACTAAAACTTGTTGTACTAATGAAAAATATAATAATGTAAATGTAAGCCTATCAGTTGTCTGACCAAGATAAAATTAGATAATAAATTTATGACAATTCGACCAATAACTCAATCATTATAGATGTTCATTAAATAAATACCATTTAAATTCATAAGATTTAAAAAAATCAAATTATGCAATTATATGTATTATGTTCAAATTATACAAAAAAGTTATTTTATTGAGTAGAGAATAATCCAAATCATTAACATATCTGACAACCTATCAAGGAATTTTGGAATCAAGGAAAAAAACATGCAAATTCATAGAAAAACGAGTATTATAAAACTTAGTATAAAACTAAGTACCTACTAACTAAAATTAAATTTCAACACAAAAATTACTAACCATGATTTTCAAATTTAATAAGTAACATAATCTACTCATAATATTACAAATTCTTAATAGTAAGACCACTTATCGTCTACAGACAATTCCAATTATAATCAAATATTTGAAAAAATATTACCCTTATTTTTTACATACATAACTCAAGTATAAATAGGTATTATTTGAAGTATACAATTTATAAAATATTTATAATGGCTAAATGGCATTTAAAATATATGCGTCTCAAACCAAAACAAATTTGACTCCCCCCCCTAAAAAAAAAAAAATTACGCTAACATGACAAAAATGATATTATTAATGTTTTATAAACACCATCATATAATACATGCATAAATTGAACAATTTCAGGAGTCACTTTATAATCTTTCTGTAAACTCTATAGATGTGACCTTAAGGGTAAAACTAGGTATAAAACTGGGTAAAATACTAAGTGGGGCAAAACAATTTATCAACCAAAATCAAAACCATGAAAAAACCTCTAAAGTTTATTTACTCTTCGTAATAATTATCAAATTCTTGACCAACGCATTATGTGGGACTGGCCTTTTGGCTTTATTAAATAAAAATTCCAACTAAATTTAAACTAATCTTGTATAAATCATTAATACCAAATTGGGCATACAATATTATAAATTATATTTTATACGTGATCTCTTTACTACCTATGGTTCTTGTAATTTGAAACATGCTTATTGTAATTTTTTTTTTACAGATTGCAGTACCTATACTGGGTGATCCATCTAATGTAAGACACTCAACTATTGTCATCATTGGATAAATCGAATCTCGAGAGGAATAAAAATAAATTTGACTTAATACCGCAAATACAACTTAAAAAACTTCAAAGAGAAATTTGGGCTCTTGACAATTTTTAGTTATTGAGACTACTGTATTAATATTTTTTTACATAATTTCAGTCATTAAAAAACAACATATTTTATGTTATGATTTGTTTACTTTTTTAATTCCTTATTCCAAAGTAAAATATTTAAAGCTTAGATGTGTGGAGTTGTGGGGTACAAGGTTAACCTGCAAAATATTGGTGCAATACTTCAAACTACTTGCCACAAAATTTGATTTCTTTAGATTGAAATATTCCGAATATGAATTTTAAAGTACAAGTTGTAACGACTTAAAATATTATGTAGATACTGAAAAGAAATTTTTTAAAAACTATTAGTGTTCTCTGAAATAATGAGTGCCTTATGCCCTTATATCAAATGGATCATCCAATAAATTCAGATATTCTTAATGTAAAAAAAAATTAAAATATATTTTTTCTTATTTTTGGTGCTTAATACGAAACAACTTTACTAAAATGTACAGATTAATTAATTATTTATTATTTATATCCAACAGTTGCTTATATTATAATATGTTGAATTGTATTTATGAATATCTTTTATTTTATTTTAATTGGCAATTACAAGAACATAGACAAATCACAATTGTAAAATTAATGTAATAAATAATAGCACAAACATCATTATATATCAGACATCATTGATTTATGACCATAATTAATATTTATAGAATTAATAATATGGACATGTAGCTACTAGTTTTATTTTCAAATACATTGAATTTAATAATTATTGCTTTTGAATAGGCTGTTGATTAGACTCGAATACTTGATATATTGTTATTTTTAAAATGTAGGTCTACTCCGATTAATTAGCATGTTTATTACTAATACAAAACACATTGTATACAATTAAAATTTAAAATATAAACACTGGAATATTGCTTTGTTCTAAATTGACCACATCACAAAATCATTACCAAAGAACACTTTTTCATCTTATTTTATCTCTTAATATCGCTTAACCTATGTTGAACAATAATTGTTTTTAGCCTACTAATACTTACTGACTAAGGATTTGAATTACACAATTTATTATATATGTATTACATAAACATTTTCTTAACCTAATTTTAAATCATAATAAAGTCTATGTATTGTAACATACCTGCTCTTTAACTAATGTATACATATAAATAACTAATATTTAAGAGGACGTTACACTGACATTAGTTGTCTCCGTCTTACAAGAGAGTAATATACCAAAATATACATGCAGCAGAACACGTGTAGCTCCATTAGTTAAAAAATTAGAGTGAATTTATTTTTAATAAAAATTAAAGGTAAGATTATAATCTAGGCAATCTCATTGGCTTTTTATTATATTTTAATTTTAAAGTGAGTTATGAGTATTTTAAAATTGTAAATTGTTTGTACATTTTGAAATACTCATAATTCGCTTTGAAGTTATAATATAAGAAAAATCCTATGAGATTCCTTACATAATAATCTTATGTCCGAGTAGCATCCTCTTAATATACCAGAAGAAAAGAAAAATCTATTTAGATTTAGCATATGGGTGTAGATCATATAATAAGAATATTATAATAGATTATTAGCAGGGTTGAGATTTTATAGCACTTAAAATTGCATAAATATGAGCTATAATATTATCTTAAATATGCGCTAAGAATATGCAATAAAAACAACATTATTAATTAATAATTTTTTAATCACTTAAAAATTATTATAGGTAGTCAGGCATGCCCGCAAATAAGTAGCTCACTATGTGCGAAATAGTTTTAGTGACAATATAAGCTTGGGAGGGTTCCCCCCCCCCCCATTCCATAACCCTAATTTAATAATATCTTTATGATGAATTTTTAAAAGTGTAAGGATTCATAATTTATACTGATTACCTAATAATTAGATACTTACCTACATAATATAATGGTTAATATAAATTGGTTATTAATTGTAATATAAAATAATTAATTGTTTGGAAAAATATACCATTTAATGAATTAGCCATAATTTTATTGATAGCTACATTAGTTTCATTTTTATATTATATCCAAGTAGAGCTTTGGAGTTACAGGAAATGTTTTTTTATTTTATGTAGCGCATAGCTTTTTTTAACTAGTTTATTTTAAAATTTGAATAGCAATTTTCAGCATTAAATGTAATTGTTTTACAATACAATTAAAATATGAATATAATTGTATAACAATACAATAAACAATTCACAGCGTTAGGCTTATAAATGTAAAATAATATTATTATACTATCATAATATTTTCATACAGTATACACCAATATACTATTATGATGAGTGGATCAAACATATCTACCCATAATAATGTACCACAGTTCAGAGACCTCGCTACTGCCGTCAATTTTAGCTCAAAATACTTTAGGTAAGTTTTAATAAAATTAAAGTTAGTTTACGTTGTAAGATTTTTATTCTGAAAAACCCGAGCTCGAAGGAAAATTATCTAGATCGTACGGAACACTTTGTAAAAATTAAAACTTATATTATTCTAAACTGTAATTGATTAAAAATTGCCTAAATGTTGCCCCTCATATAATAGCCGTAGCGAAGCCCCTTATTAATATTTAATAATAATATCGTTAGTGACCAAAATAAATGTATTAAGAAACGCATAGTATTACCGTTCTTTCATCACTGTACCCTTTACTTAAGTTCTACAGACGACGGTTTTTTAGAACAAGTATTTACTATATTGGGCAATGGGAATAATCAAAGACAAAAATGATAAATTAACAGGGAAGAAATTTTTATATTTTATTTTTAATTTGAAAAATCCAAATTATTAAAATTCTCAGGTGGTACATTTGCACCACCTGCCCCCCCCCCTTCGGGTGTACCTATAGGTAGTTACTTAAGATTTGAAGTAGAAATTGACGAAAAAACACAAAAAAATCAGCAGATAACAAAACTTAAAACCAAATACAAAATTATCGTAATAATTCGATTAACAAAAATCTAAAAACACGTTTACTAAAATATAATTTCATAAAATATGACCGATTTTGATTCAAAAACAGGTAAAAATGCAAACAAGTTTTAAAAACTCCCCAAAAAGAACTAAAACTAAAAAATTGAAAAATATGCAAAAAAAACAAAAATTTAATTTTTAATTTGAGTTCTTTGTATTATAAAACACATTTTTAACTTACTCTGCTATTTTTTAAGCATCTTATAAGAAATATGCAAATGCTATAAAATCCCAACCCTGGTTATTAGGATAGAAGTATTTCGTATTTTGAGGATATGTGAAAATTGTTTCTAACAGTAAAAGTCAGCGGAACAATGTTCTCAACTAAAGTGGAAAATTGGTCTGACGATTTTAAGTTGTTTTATTTTGAAAATCCATTATGTAACATACTAACATCCTCTTAATAGTTAATACAAATGCATTTGTACATACAATAGTAATGGTAGCTGGGCAACAGGGATGTTTTTCGTCTCCGTAAAAAAATGAGCTCACGGATATTTCGTCCCCGTCTATTATTAAGATAGGATATTTGGCCCCCGGGAGTTCATATTATCGTCATTGTCGCCAAACAACTCAAACACAATTGGTAATTTCACATGTTAGGAAATTCCCAAAAATAATATTTTGAAAAAAGTTATTGGCGAGGTTATTAGTTTTAATCATAGACCTATAAACTAATGGACTGCACCTCACTCACCACCCAGCCATCAATGATTGGCGCCAATATAGAGTGAGTGAGAAAGAAAATATTGGGGGAATCTTGGTGGACAATCATATAAGAGAAAGAGAGAAAAAACATAATGGGGGAAATCATAGACGTATGAAACTAATACTGTATATCGTACCCCTGACCTCTCTCTCTAAGCGCTGTCCATTAGTTTATAGGTCTATGGTTTTAATAATATAATATTTATTAAATAAATAAATATATGTAAGACCCCAAACTGTAAGAGTACCGTATTGAAAGACCAAAATTATCGTTAATTTAACACATGGAGACAATAGTTGAAATAACTGAGAATAAATTAAACATCAATATTCAAATTATAAATGCAAGTTTTTAGCTTGGAGCAGGAATCGAAAAAAAAATCCTCACATATTAATATAAATTATATTGAAATTGTAAGTTTTTTAAAAATAATTGAAATTTTAAATTAAAAAAAGACATTTAAATGTAGTGATTTCAAATACCGGGGACCAAACGTCTTATGGGCAGGTAAATAACATCACATAACTCCCGGGGGCCAAATGTCCTATCTTAATAATTGACGGGGACGATACGACAGGGGCGAAACGTCCTTTTACCGGTAGCTGGTGGGTAAACAATTAATCAAGAGTAGAACGTGTATGTGGGATATATTGACTAACCAAATTATACTTCATTTTTATAATTTTAAGTAAAGTAATGAATAAATTGAATGTGGGAAGTTTCCTTTTCAGGTTATACTTATGTACCTAGTTGAATTATATTTTAAAATAAAATTGGTTGAAGTACCTTATGGGTTTTTATAGTTAAAAATGAATTTTTAGATAGTATTAAGTACAGACACAGCAAAAGAAACAACCCTGACAAAATATGAACACAAGAACCTTAGATTAATAAGTAAGCCCATTGAGTAACATTTTTTTGCATACCTAACACAGTTTTAGTATACTTTTAGTTTACCAGGTACCCTACATTTTGAATTTTTTTTTCAATCTTGGAACTTTTAACACTGAAAAAGATGGTGCAAAAAAAAAATTGGCACAGATCATTAATTTTGAAGTTATAGCAGTATGACAACCTGGGTAGTCGGTGGCACTACTTTAGTTGTCAAATAATATGTTAGGCTTAGGTTACTCATTATGTTAGCTCAGGTCTGCTTGAGTGTTAGGTGAGCATAACTCTCCACCTCAGACTACAAAAGTCTCCCCCAAGATGGACAATTACCACCCATGAGGGGTGTAGGCTCAAGGTTCTCAGGAGTTTGAGTTTGGCAACTTTAGGAGGCAGGTATAAGGAGCGACTACTTGTCATAGTTAAAAAGTGCAAAATTCAAAGAAATATCGATTAAAATTTTTTTTAAAAATGGTGCTCGATACACTGTAAAAGTTCTCACCACCAATACAGGTGACACTGTAGCGACCACTGTTTCTTGTTTTCAAGGCGTATACTATTACTATTATACTATTAACTAGGTATTGATATTACGAAAATTAATCAAAACAATCACCTGCAAGACAGCGTCAGTTCGATTTCAGACGTGGGTTCGGTGGACGACCCAGGCTTAAACACGGCCATAGCGGCGGTGTTATGGAGATGAGCTTTTAGTTTTTACTACAAGTGAATATTAGACGTTGACTGAGGGCGCGTAGAAATAAACTGTAGCGCGGTTAACTCTGCAATGACTCATGTGCGATACTGTGATCGTGATGGTATGTCTATAGATAACGGAAAACGAACAATATTGACTGCATTTTACGTTTACAGGCTGGATTGGGCGTAATTAACTGTAACGTGTGACTCAACGAGACAATATTATAATATTATCCCCAGTAAATAGTAATCAGAAATTCAGAACTCAGTACGCGTCTACGCCTAACAACAGCAGGCTAACTGGCTAACAAGTGCCCACTGGCCACTACCCTACGCTATCACGAATTCACGAATAGGACGTTATCAACGGAGCCCGGAGGCAACGGCGGAGAATAATAATAATAATAATATTGCTATTTTCTAACGAAAACAAGAATGTATTATTAGGACACTACGAAAAAAACACGGACGACTACAACAACAACACCACGTCTGATAACGCGACAATACGGGTTGGGCGGGTGATAACGAAATTTCGGCGGCGACGGACGGCGGTCGGATCCAAAGAGAATGGGTTTCGTGGAACGTGCTCTCCGGTCCAGGGCTGCGGAGGGCCGAACGGGGCTGGGAAAATCGACGTCGGCGCCGAAATTTATCAGACGTGAGCCCTGCCTTTTGGGTTTGACGGACAGGGACACGGCGTGACGGCCGGACCGCACGCCGCGGTGCCGTCGGCTCGGGCGCGTCGGATTCCAAGGACGCTGTATACCAGGCTACGTTGATCGTCCCCGTGTGATTCGCCCGATTGGCGACTTCCCTCCCATCATCGCCACCGCGCACTAGCCACCGCCACTCATCGCTCGCACGTACTTGTACACCGCGCTCGCAATATAGGCGGATGTGTACTCGCCAGCGTTTCGTCCGTTTCCTACAAGACACTAGACAGTCGTCGTCTGTAAATCGTTTAATAAGCTTCGTACATTTTTGACGAGTGTTGAACGAACGGTCAAAGGCCCCATACGCCATTAACACGTTCATAGTTTTTTTCGGATCTACGTCGTCCGTTTTCGGCTCGCGTCCGCCCGTGTGTGTGTTATTAATAATAATAATATCAACACACGCACACGCTCGCGTATATATATAGGTATATAAGGTCAATGGTATTCGGTGACGGTATCGCGACCGCACAGCAGTCATAAATGTTGCAAACAGAGAGGATGCCCGACCTGGTGGAAGTGATGAGAATGGGCAAGGACCATCGTCTCAAGCACAGGCAGTTGCCTCTTCAAGTTGACGAGAACTTGACTGTGAGTCTGCCCCCCCCCCGCGCACCCCCCCTCAATTAGTTTTTTTTGGAAATTCTCATGCCCCCCCTCGGGTACACCCTATACCGTCGGGGTCCTTCCAAGCCCCAACTCCGCCTCAAAAGTTCCATGTCAAACCGGCTTGAGGTTCCTCTTTTATTAGTCGTTGTCGTTGTTATTCTATTGTCTATTAGACACTGCCTACAACAATGTATTATATTTCTGGAAACTTAACCAATGCGTTTAGCTTTACTGTTTTTTAGTCCTACCACTATCAGTTACGTTTGTTCTGAATTCATGTACTCACGATAATTTTAATACTAGTATTGTTGTTTTATAGCCGTGGTCTACGGTTCTCGATTTAATTGACTGCTTTTTGTTTCACAGTTGGTAATGGATCTTAGCAACGAAGATTTGATACAAGAAGTAAAACAAGTACCGCCATTAAAACTTCAATCTTTAGATAGTTTTGTGAAAAAGTATCGCATGCTAAGCAAACGCGAACTGCAAGATGTATTAAAAGTGTCCATTAAAGAAATATTGGATATAATGAGTGAAAGTATCGACTGTGTTGGGTGTCGTAGGAGGTAAGTGTTATTCCATTATATTTTTACTTAAATTAATCTTAATTGTTAGCCATTAACATGATCATTATCAGTAAAATGATAAAACCTAAATCAATCATCCCGTTTAGATTCTAATCTTAAGATGACAGTATTTTATTATTTAAATTTATAATTTTAATACTTAACTAATAACTGTTTAAAGATAGGTAGTTGTTTATCAATATTTTTGTTAACTTAAATTTGTAATTTAACTTCTAAAATGTTTATTTACAATAACTACTAATGACATATAATCAAAATATTCTAATAATATCATAATATTTTTATGGAATAATCAAGAAAGCTATTTATCCATTTGCTGTCATTTTTTTTTTTTGCAATCCTATTTGTCCTGTAGTGATTATACATTTATAATAGATGTTCTACATAGTATATACAAAAACTGACTTACTATTTTAAACCAATTGGTTTTACTGATCAAATTTTTATTCATCTATTTAATTATTCCACAAATCTTAATATTCATTTTTTCATTTCAAGGTTTATTCTAAATTCCATTTTTACAAAATTTCAAAGGTATATATTATAATTCAATTTTTATTATTTAATTTTGTCAATATTGTGTTGTTGTAATATACCAAAATTACCTAAGAACCTATATATCTAGGTATAAATTGAATAAAAATAATAGAATACAATTTTGTAAATATGATTATTTTTTTCAGTGCTGAAAAATTATTTGGTGAAATGGCCAAACTTGGTCAAAATGCATTGTTTCCTCTTGTTGTAGTTAATAACAACTTTATTTCTATACGATATGAATTTTATGATGAAGAAAGATGCATGTTTAATTTACTTCAGAATACCAATGGGTAATTTAATCAAATTTCGATAACATTTATTTTAAATAATTAATTTTCAAAATGTATTTTAATTTTTAAGGAATCGCTTATCATCAATTGCATCTAGTCGAAGGCAATCAAAAAAAAGTAAAAGATGTGTTTACCATTCCCTCGAGTCACAGAGACTTGTCAGACCAATGGCAAGCGGGTGGCAAGATATATGGAGACATATGACTGAACCATGCAGAGATGAAATAGTGCTTATTGAAGCAAGTAGCTTATTAAGCACACTGGATAACTATCTCAGAAAACATAGGTTATTATAATATTTTTTTGTTACAGCTCTAGAAACCTTTTAGTCTTACATCTATATATTATTTCTCTTGAAAGTATCTCTTGACTCTTATGGCATTTAAAATGATCCAAATATTGTATTTAAATTGTATATTTAGCTTGATATTTAGTTAATAGGCAACAGTTAATTATAACAATATTATATTCTTGGTAAATTTTACATAAAATTGTCAATATTAGTTTTAATTAATTTAATCTTAAAATATATTATTAAGGTATCTTGTCATATCAGATAACAATTTCTAAATTATAATAATTATTAATTTGTAGCTATTTAGAATCTAAACCAATGCATGTTATCTCGTGCATGTAGCATAATTAAAATACTCAATAGCAAAATTCAAGATAGCATTTCAAGGGCATCTGAAAACCATTTTTTGTTTTATTAATTATATTATCAAAAAACATAATTTCAATCGGTTTTAAAACTAATAATTTAGAAAATGATTGCTACCTTACAAATATTTCAATAACATTTACTTTTTATTATAAAATAAATTTTTCTGCGATATGTGTGTGAGAGTCAAATGCAAGATATCAAACTATATCTTGTTTTTTTTTATATATATGAGTAAACAATCAAATTAATTTGCTGTGCAGCTTTCATAGTTTTTCTTATTCGCCATAGGTACTTAGAATATAATTAACATAAACTTGAAATTTTCAGAAATATAAATTAACATCTCTCTCGAGATTTAATAGTAATTTATGTTAAATTAGCTTATCAAATATGCCTAGTTTCTACTTTTATGCATTATTTTCACAATTATTTAATTAAAATATTTCAATTAGATTTTGTGGCGACTGCCGTACAAAAGTGATGAAAGCATATGCACTGCTTATTGAAGAAGAAGATCCGTCCAAAGAAAAAGGTTATATTGAAGAACTTTATGCTGGTATTAAAAGATGTGTAGGGGACAAACATGTCCATTTGGATACTGATATTAATTATATTGGTGCATTGATCAGCCGTGCTGAACCAGAATTAATGGGAAAGTAAGTTGTACACTAGTAAATATTTTTTTGACCTAATATTTATGAAAAAACTTTAGTCGTAGGGAACGACATGCTAAAACTATCGAGATTGCTCAAGAAGAGGTTTTAACATGCCTGGGTATTTGTGTATATGAACGATTACACAGAATACAATTGAGGATTAGAGAAGAACAATATACTTGCCAAGTTCTCGCAGCAGCAGCCATTGATGGCCTTGCCAGAAGATTTGAAGTAATTAATAACTTAATTTAAATTTTTTCCTCAAATTTAAAACAGATTTCATAATAAAAAATATTTTTTTTTGTAGACTGCCATTGAAGTAAAACAAGGATTTACCAAATTAGATCAGTTTTACAATGAATTTTCAAAAAAAGAGAAAAAGACACAAAAAAGAAAACGGCTCAGGAAACAAAAAAGATCACAAAAAAAAGAAACCCTACCATCGTTGATAATCTGTTGTGATGTGAGTATAAATGATAATATTATATTGTGTTATAATTATATAAAAAGTTTATGTTAACATGTATTTAATAAAACTATGACAACATTCAAATATTGAATATATTGAATTTAGCAAAAAATAAAAAAGTAAACCAAAATACAGTTTTGCTTAATTTATCTTTATTCTTTAATTATTAAAAATGATTATAGTTAATATTATGATTTTATTGTAAGTTTATGAGAACTTCATACTGAAATTAGTGAGAATAAATTACATTTTTTTAGTCATTTAAAAATATATAGTATTACAAAACATCAGTCAAAAACATAGTTATATAAAGGTATACGAATAATAAATAAAACTATTACAAATCTAAAATCATATAATTATAATAATTAGATAAAATTATAGTCTATTTAAATTTTAATTATATATTTAAAAATATTGTTATAACTTATGTGATTGCTTAGGTTTAATTTATGAGCCAATGTTTGTATGTACTCACATCTTATTATTTTCATTCTTCTTTCAATATCAATGAAATCGATTTTCTTTCTATTTTGTAATGATGTGTTACATGTTGCATATTATGTGTTTTAACTTGGCTACATTTGAAAACACAAGGTTGTGGAAACTCAATATTTATTGTGCACTGAATGCTAGAACTCTTTTCTGTCCATAAATGAAGAGGAAAAATATTCTCTGATAAACTTATCTATTAAATTGTCCAAAAGTTTGGTTACGTTATCTAAAGGCTGTATAGTTGCAACATCTGGCTTCCACTTGGTTCAAAAATGATAACCAAATATGTACGTTAAATATTGTTTTATAAAATCGTCATTAGAGTATTGCAAAGCTAATATAATAATACAAACATCAATACATAAGTCATGAATTTATATCTATTTTGATGTTTGGAAATTGTTGAATTTTATATGAACCACTACATATTAGTTTTTACCTTCCATTTGCAGGCAATTTGTTCTAGATCATTTTTCCTTTATAATACAATTTAGAGTACATTGGGAGGCAATTTATATAAAATTATTTACCTTTTTGATTTTGGTGGGCCATTAGTATGCGCCTGTTAATTTATTTATCTTAAATTGGTGGTTGAATTCATATTAAGTATTAATTTTTTTTATTTGTATAGGCTGATGATTGTTCATGTGTTGATGTCGACGAAGAAGAAATTGATTTTGGTGAAGATGATATTGATTTTGTGGATGATGTTGATGACGAAGACGATGATTATGATGGAGTACAATCTGATGTGAGTTTTATACATTTCAAATGTATTATTGGACATAGACTTATATTTATATGATTTCTATTTTAGGAAAGAGAAGATTCTGATGAAAATTGTAATCATGTTGATACTCAATGTACATGTGAAAACATACAGTTGATTGAACGAGTGAGAAAAGTATGTATTTACTTATTTACTAAGTACTGGGTTGTGTGAAATAATTATTGTGGTCTTTAATAGTGGATAATTTATAAATTTTCAGCAGCTTAAACTATCTGGTGACCGAAAGAAAAGTGTTTCAACTCCAATCAAACCCTGCAGCTGTGTTGAATGTAATTCTAAAGGCACAAGAAAATCAAAAAAGAAAAAAGGTAGCGGAGAGAAAGAAAAACGCAATAAAAAAAAACAGACAAAAAACAGCAAAAAAAACACAAAAAAAATTAAGAAGTCCCCAGTTCAATTACAAAGTCAAGTACAAGAAATAAATGTTTATGATTTGATTGAAGATGAAGAGGATGATGATATTGAAATTGAAGATATGACCGACCGTCATTCTGCTGATGAGCATCAATCAGAAGGTGGCGACTGTAAGTCTAGTGTAATCAATCATGATCTACCTGGTAGTTGTAGTTCATGTCCATCGTTATGCGACCATTCACAAGATTATGGTTATGCATCAGCTGAAAATAACAACCACAGTAATAGTACTAGCTCACCTGATGGTTCAGATGTGGCATGCTCTGAAGGATTTTGTAACCACTCAGGTAATTCAATTATATTTGAGAATAATTAATTCTAAATAGAGCTCAAATATTATGACTGGATAATTTATTTTTGCACCATCATAATTAGTTCTAAATAATATATAAATTTCAATTTACAATATATACAAATTAAATTTATAGCTATTTTTATTAACAAAGCGCAGTTGCTTATTTGATAATTTTAAGTATGTGGCTTGGCACAGTGCGTTGGCTGCTATCTGTCACTCAACTTGCCACTAGTGCCCAGATGGGTGCCCACCCGAGTTCATAGTGCACAAAAACCTTGCCATACATACATTTATTTACAACCATAACCTTACTACCGTACCAACCCTACCAACTTTGCAGGATAATGACTGCGGTCGTAAAAGTCTAAATTCAATAAAAAAAATTATAGTATTAAGAATAAATTGACTAAAATTAAATTATAAGTAGTATCATTGAGTATATAATATTCTTTATACGATATTATATTATATTCGATGGTTGTATCATGAACATGTAACAAATATTTTAGATTCTGCTAGTGGTTTTCCAATGATGTTTGTTTTTTTTATCCTGTAAACAAAATTTTTACTGGAAGGAGTGCTTTGATTTCAACATACAGTATCTTATCTTTTAGCAAATTGGATCAAGATGGTACTTTAGTGAGGTTATTTTTAGATTTTCTCAATATTTCAAAGAAACTATCAAAATACTAAATACCCTATTGTTAAGCAATTTTTTTTTCCAATGCTTAGTTATCACCATAGAAATGAATAAAATTTAAAAACAATCTAATTCCCCACTGGGTATATATAATTAATGGTCACTTATTAATACATATTTATGATTCATACATTTTCTTTTGTCCGCTCGGAATCTTTTTTTATTGAAAGCAATCATTGCATTCAAATCGAAGACTGTAATAATACAATATCCTGTAAGAGGACCAAAAGGATAATAATGGACGAACTTCTTCCACCACTGACCTACTCCACCCCGCTGCACTTACCCGTTTTTACTTATATATGATAATATTTCACATTTAACCAAAATTACATTTATTCATTTTTGGTTTATTAATATACAGTGTGGTACAATGAAACTGCTGATTTTCAAAGTTATATGATTAAAAATCAATTAATAATATATTTAAAAAAAGGACCATCACTTATTTTTAAAAACATCTGTCTCAAAATAAGCAGTCTTTTTCAAACATTCTTGAGGTCTTCCTCTTGAATTTCATTCCGTGTATCATTTTCAAAGTGTTCCGGACATTTCTTCACATATGTTGTTCTCCTATTGGATTCAATTCATCAATATTTCAAGGTTTATGGGCATTATGTACTTATCTTTGAAAGATACTACCCACATTAGCCACCTCTAACAAACATAATTAATTAATTTGATTTTAATTTTATAAACTTCCTACACCGTTCTTCAGAAAATAAAAATAAATATTTATTAATATATTTGTAATTTATATTAGTAGGTATGGAAATATACAAAATTATATATTAAAATTCTTATTTTATATAGTTTTATTAATTTTATATATTATTTTAGTGAAACAAATAAATACTGCATAGCATTCACAAGGTTAAATTTTTCTTACGAATAGGTAAAATAACCTATTATATATACTCCTTTCAAGTTAAGAAACACAGTTGGCTACGATCAGTTTTGATGGTGGCAGTCGCATTACTGTTTGTCACCCCCACCCAGTTAACTATCTTTGCATGTGTAGTATTTCCAAGCCCCTGCATACATGTGTATAGTTAAACTCAATATTAATTTTTAATCAAGAAAATATATTTTAATATCTTAATGATCACAGCAATCCATTATTATATATATTTTTTATTTATTAAAAATTGTTTGTCCATTTGGACTTAAATTCATTAAAATTCTTATTTATTATGATTAATTTTGTTACAGGAGATGTACCATCATTAAAAATTAAGTGTTATTCTAATATGGGGACATTATCCTGTAAGTCATTGCCACTTCAACAGTTGTTAATAGAAGAACTGGTAAGTAGAAAATAAATTTGATTCATATTGAGTTGCCTTATTACATTGATACTGTATTTTGTCTTAGGAGAAGAATGCTATTGTCGTAGATGATACCATAATACCGTCAGAGGAGGTGGAGATGTACAAAGTCTGTGCAATGTTAGTGAATGAGAAACGTCTAAAACTTAGGGAGACACTAAAGAGTGGTTTTGCTAATTTAAAAGACCCTCAGGCCTTATGAGTCATTGTTGGAGTGTCATTCTCACTTCCCTTATTCCAAAACATTTTTAATAAAACCGTTTTAGTTAATTTTTTTCATTATACTTATATAATAATATAGAAACATTTTTTTTTCTTTATTTGCATACATAAACACAATATTACTTTAGTTAATATTTGTGAATAATTTGTTCTGACCTTTTGATTAGTTCAATACAAATTTATTTAAGAATATTTTTTATATTATAAATTAAAATTTATTAGAGGAATATAATAGTTTATTTGATAACCATTATTAAAGAAAAAAGAAAAAGTATGTCCCATTATTTTTTTGTGTTAAAATGTTTTGTTGTTTCCTACTTAAAATAATTAATAAGGTTTCAATTGGGTCAGTAGTTAACTAAATTTGACTATTATTTCAGCTCATTATATAATATTAAGCTATATTATTACGTGCCACTGTGTAATTATTTGTTTTTTTTTAAATTATACATTTTGGTTAAAAATTTAAAATAGAGAAATTTTTATATGAAAACCTTGAAAGTTTTTGGTTGGAAACTTGATTAAGGTATAATAAACTTTATTCAAATGAACAGACCAATTACAGAGCGTCACAACATTGTTTGGTTATGTTCAATATGAGTGAAAGTATAGTACTTTTATTTCTGAATAGAGCATACTTTGTCTAGATAACAATATCGAACATTTTGTAATGGGGTTCCATTGTACACATTCATATTAATACTGAGTGCCGTCAAAAAAAGAATATAATATAATTTGATTTATACCTATACGATAACAGACCACAGCTACCGTCTCCCAGTATGAGGCATTCTGGTTCACCGTGGTAGCTACCAACACTACACTCCATACGCGGTAAGCTGTATTAACTCATTGTTTGAACATTACTCCTTGCACATCTATGTTTGATACGATTTTGTAAATATTATTGTGCCTCTTTTCTAATAAATCCCACTTATATAAATATTTGATTATATGTAATCAATAATCATATTACACATTATGGAGGGGGCAGGGTGCAAACAACATGCTTTGAGGACCATCCCACTATCCCAGCATAAATACAAATTGTTAGTCCAAAAGTTAAAGTCAACATCGTGCATTTCTAAATGTTAAGGCAAATATTACATACATTTTTAAAATCCAACTGTGTTAAATACCACTCACATGAGAAAATATCAAACTGTAGTAGAATTTACATGAAGAAATAAAAATGAGTAGTTTATGTAGAAATAAATCAATGACGTTTTTAAATAAAGACAGTGAATATAGTTTATTGTATAAATGCAATTAAATAATATTTTAGACTTTAGTTATAACTATGTTATGATCTACAAGTGGAATTAAAAGGTGATGATTTCTATGGCATACACAGGTATTAGATAGTAATTTATTCATGTACAATATGCAAAGCAAATAATTATTATTTCATACAATCATATAATTTTTTAAACAGTCGGGTACAGTGAACTCGTTTACATTTTGTTCAAACAAACATCCTAACAGTACATTAGTGTCAACCATTTTTCCATTAACGATGTTCAAAAAATTGTGTTTATCTTTACCAGACCAGTAAATTCTCAAACGCTTGCTAATAAAATCTCCAGATAAAGATAATGAAGCGACCGCAACATAATCTCGACAGCTAACAGAGTACAGTTCCACTTGAGCCCTTAAACTCTCCCAGTTTTCCAACTTAGAAACTGGTGAGTAAACCACACGATAGTCTAACCCGATACTTTCATACAGCCGTCTGTAAATGGCCAACATTTCATCAAATTGATCTCTGGATTTCTGTTCATCAGTTGTACCAATGAAAACTTCAACAGCATTTGTTTGTACAGCAGAGAAAAGTCCAATGTTGTTTTTAATGAAGGGTTTATATAAACGACCTGTCGAATAAAATTTTAGGGGCAGTTTGTTTCCACCCACACTTGTTTTTGCAAGGAATGCGCAGAAAGATTGAAGACTTGCACCACCCACCAAGTGCAGGTTTTTTTCGCTTAAAATAAATGTTTGATCTGCATTGTCAAAGTCAGCCCCACATCCTTCAATAATTACACTTTTAATAAGGTCTGAATTGCAAAAAGGTATAAAATCAGACTTTTCTAGAGAGTCATTGAAATAAGCCATTATTGCTTGTTCACAGAGAGAAGCTCTGTCCTTAATGTACACCATTACAGGATTTATGAAATCCAAACATTCCAAAGCTGAGCCAATTTTTAGATGATCTACACACTCAGTATTATCAATTTTTGTTTTCCCATAGTGTTGAAATACAATTTTACTCTCAGATAAGGGACACTCAGGGTGTAAGCTGTTGGGGATGCTAAGACTAGGAATAACCACTTCCGTTTCTAATGCAGAAATATCATCTCTCAACGACTTCAATCTTGTCATTACTTTTGATCTAGTTTCTTTAAGCCTGTTTATCTCATTGATATTATCCTTTTTGATTTTTTTTAATTGTTCAGCAAGTTTTTGTTTTTCAACATTTAAACAGACAATTTCTTCTCGTGCGCTTATGAAACTCGACCAACTATCACATATTTTATCTAAATTGATATTCAAACCTCTTAAAGTAATATTATCTTTTAAAGTACTTCTATTTTTTAAATGATTATCCAGATCTACATATGGTTCAATGACAACATATGTATTGGATGTTTGATTGTACGGTATATACAGTTTTGATGTACTATATTTTTTAGTTATCTTTAAAAGGAAATTAATAGAAGAAAATGTTTTAATCATTGTAAATCTATATTTAATGAACAAATATCAGCAACTTCTTCAGGTTCTTTATATTCTTCCACATTAATGGGTTGTGTGACAATGACTCTTTCTTTTGGAGCTATGTAACTTCCAAAGCCAGCTGCTCTTTCGGCCTCTTCAATAGTGTATGGTTCAAGCTTAAGTTCTTTAATTCGTTTCTTGTGCAATTTTGTACGAAAATGATCTTGTAAGACTTGATCACTCAAAAAATAACGTCTAAAAAATTTGAATTGAATTTATTTTAGAAATAATTAAAACTCAGTTTGTATTTATTTGTAATGAACATGGTACTTACGCACAATGTATACAGTAGTGCTGTCCTTCTCCAGGTTTATCAAAATCAAGAGCTTGATTCAACAAACGGTCTGCATTTTCTTTCTTTAGGTCCTGATCAACCTAAGAAACAAATATGGAGTATTAGTTTGAAAAACATTTAAGGGAGATGGTTTTATATTAAAATTTAAAATCATTATTTATAATTATACCAATTTAAAGCTAATAGTATTTTATTCATCACACTTAATTACTTAATGATTTTATTAAACATTGGTTTATTTAAATTGACAATTAAATAGTTGGTAATAGAACATAAAAAGCAATTATTTTTTTTACGTATATTATAAAAATCAAAATTTAGTTATTACATATTTTGTTTTGCAAATAATATAAGTATAATTAGTTGTCATGTTATCAACAGTACATAACAAATAAAGAATATTTAAAACAGGCAACAACAACTATGTATACAATCAAAATTTAAAAATAAATTACATTTTGATGGTTGGAATAGTGAAAATTTTGAAAGAATGGAGATAATCATTAAAAAATATATATACCAAGAATATCTGTATACTATCAATTATAGACTAAGATAATATCCCAAGTATGATGTACAAATTATCTTAATGGCAGATGTGACAATAAATAATAATATTATAGTGCACAAATACTATATTATGCATTACTGGCATTTTTATATTGTGAGCAGTCAACGTATTTAAAAGATTTGTTTATAATATACTATTTAGTATTTACACTGGGTTATTGTTTTGTCAATGAAATACAATTGTTGTGTACGTACAAATCGATCATCTTTCATCATAGCTTAGTGCGGTCGAACTACATCGTGTTCGTCATACGTACACAATCAAAATGTCGTTGAAATTACATGTTGGCTAAACAATATCGTCATTTAAACATTTTCTAATCGTTTATTTTTGATGGTCAATAAAATGAAACGGATAAACTAGTGTTTAGACATTTTTTCTTACGGGCTCCCGTGCACCAGGCACAAAGAGTCGAGCAGCTAACCGCCAACGGACAACAGTCGACCTTAAAAAAAGTTCAATTACCTCGTCGATGTCTCTGGCTCTGTGCTTGGTCTTGTACTTTCGTTTGTAGAATGTGTCGCCTACATGGTGCTTTTTCTTCTTCTGCGGTCCGGTCATCTAGAAGGAAAAAGCGCATTATCATTTTATCAATCGTAGTTTGCGATTGCGCACGAGTATATTGTTATTTGCTGTTATATAAAATTGTATTATTTTGTAGAAGTCATCGATTCCGACGTAGATCGTACAATAGAAAACCACAGACTTACATACTTACATTGGCGAAAGGAAATGGCTTAAAACAGTTAAAACTATTTACTTTTATTAAACTATTTTAGCTGCGCATTGCGTGAATGCCACATGGCCTCATCCAAAACTATAATATCAATAATAATGTTTTTCCTTAGATAAGGATAACCAAGAAACACGAATGGATCATAGGAATGGCCAAAGCACAGATTATATATTTATATGAAAACAGATTGTGCACAGTGCACTTCCTATGCTGCAATGTAAAAAATGAACTAGGTGCTCTGATTGGTTGGCTCCCAAATCAGTGTGACCACAAATACCAATGCTAATTTATTGTATATACCTACATACCATAATATTGAAATTTGAATTATTGAATAAAGCTCAGTGAACTTTTCAATTGCAACTCAATACTCATAATATTGTACTTTGGTAAATGTAATAGAAAAGTAAAATATGCAAATTATTGTCTCCAAAAATATATTTATTTCAATTTATCACAATATCAAACAATATAAAAAATTAAACAATTAAAAAATGTTAGAATGCAGGTAAATTACAAATAACTTACAATTTTTATTGTAAACAATTAAAAATAAATACATATTATAAATTATAAACATAATTAAGTACAACATTTTAATACAAATGGCTTTCTTTCTAATTTATTTATAAATGATTTAATATACACAATTTTTTATTTTTTTTTTGTTTTTCTGATATTAAATTCCTATTTAAGAATTTAAGAGGACGCCACAAGGGTAAAAATAAAGTACAAAATGATGTCAATTTTGTTCCAATAATAAGGCTTACTGAATGGTTTTAGAGCAAAATACCTTAATTAAAAGTTGTAGAGGAGAGTTATATCGGGTGCGTGATAAGACTCGATTTTTGATATTTTAATTTTTTATACCAATTATTCACATGTAAAAAAGTGAAAACGCAAAACGATTTTTATCGATTTTGAGAACGAAATATCAAAAATCGAGTCTTAACACGCACCCGATACAACTCTCCACTACAACTTTTAATTAAGGTATTTTGCTCTAAAACCATTCAGTAAGCCGTATTATTGGAAAAAAGTTGGCATGTTTTACAGATAAAAAATTTAATTGCGGCCGTCATGTGCTGCTGTCGTTTCTAGCGGCAGCGGTTGTCCCCCTCCTAGCTCTAGACATCTAGGCGCGCTCGCCGCCGCCCGCCGGAAGGTCAAAACCGGTCTGTTATCGGCGGTCCGCGCTTCGCCTGTCGTTGCATTATTTTCATATTATTATTTACGTGAAATAAAACAAAATAAAACTATGCTCGATTTATTACGATGCCCGCAAATCGCAATCGTCATCGTCCTTACATTACCGTATTGCCGTGACAGTGAGAAAAAACTTATTTTTTTAGTTCCAAAAACACGGCTAACTGTTTTAGAGCAAAAAACCTATTATAAAAGTTATAGAGGAGAGTTAAATCTGTTAACGTATAGGACTAGATTTTTGATATTTTAATTTATTATACCAATTATTCACAAATCAAAAAAGTGAAAACAAAAAACAAAAAATGCAAAACGATTTTGTGGATTTTGAAAATGAAATATCGAAAATCGAGTCCTATATGTTATATAAAACATCTATAAAAATCGCTTCAAAAACGTTTAAACATAATTTCTATATAATATATATTATTTATTGTGTTAAAAATATAAGAATTTATAAAAATTAAAACTTATCTTATCAAATAATTAGTGTATTAGATACCGTTACAACAGTGCCGGCGCACAGTGGGATAAAAGTAATTTTAGCACGCCAAAATTATTTTAATACACATTTTATTATTATTATTCATTATTTTAACAAAAATCCAAATACCATGACAAATTAAATTTGTCATGCCAAATACAAAATATCTATACATGCTTAGACTGCTTATATCCAACTCTAAGTCACTATTTTCACCGGTTTCATCGGTATTTTGAACAATTTTCCTCATCTTCGGATTCAAAATCTAACAAAGATTTAACTTCTGGAGAAAGCTCATATATTTTCTTTTTACATGTATTCCGAAGGGATGAAATTAGTGGGTCGGATGACACTAACATCATTTGGAAAAGATCAATTTACAAAACAATTCCATATACGTATAGTTGGTATTTGATTCTTCATGACTTGGACCAGCTAAGAAGAAAATTAAAATTAGGATACATCGGACATTTTCGGAATACCATATGTATACAAATAAAAAGATACGTATTCATACTATAATTAAAATATCAAACTGTAAAGTTACTACGAGTTACAAAAAAGTAATATCTGTTCTTGAATTTGTAAATATTAATAAATTAGTGTTTTTTATACTGCTAAATTAGACAGCTACAAATGTTTTAAAATCATGTAATTATTAAACTTACCTATTACATTGTGATCTTCCATACTTGGGTTTGAATTATTTTGCTCAATATTGATAATTTAATGTACGTATAGACTATAGACACATATGTTACACGATCGTACTTGGTTGTTCAACTGAACACAGATAACGAAAAATCGTTTTATTATTTGACTCGGTTAACGAGCTCATTATAACGGTAATGGGAACAATTAAAGATAGTGTTGATATGTAAATAAAATATCGAACAACTATACTATATAATTGTATCATAAGAATATACGTTATGAACCATTTAAATTCGGACTTTTGGCGTGCTAAAATTACTTTTATCCCACTGTGCGGCGCTAGGTATTGCTGGTCATAGGTAATAGCCACGGACTAAGATATATCTTAGTCCGTGGTAATAGCCTTTAGGTTCTCAGAGAGTAGTGAAATTTTAGCTTTTTTTAAATCAGGATTTTAAAAAAAGTACTGTTTTTATATATAATATAGGTAAATAATTAAATTTAAATAATGCTCTGTCAATTCTTAATGAATCAAGATATTTTAATGAAACAAAAATCAAATTAAAGCTTATTTTTATCTTTGTTATTCACTTGCCCCATATATAATTTTATGTAATACTAATAGCAAAAACAATCCGATTTTGCACTTGCCCCATAAAAAGGGGCAAGTGTGACGTTTTAAAATTAAAAAAAAAAAAAAAATTATTCTTAGGTGAGTGATAATATAACTTTGTTGACTATAAATTCCAATTATGTATATCTAGAGGTGTTACATTATGGAACAATAACAACTTTAAGTTAAAAACAAAAAAAGTATTGTCAAATTCAAAATTAACTTTTCATTTTTGCGTCACACTTACCCCACTTTACCTTACCTACTTGAGTAAACGGAGACAACACATTCGAGTGCGATTCCTCCTGATGAAACCTCGCTCAGCACAGAATTATTGGCGTAGCGTGAGTTTCAGTTAAACCTTTGAGTGGAAAATCGTAGGCTAATAAATTCATAAGGGCTGGTTATTTTATTAATTTACATTTATTTTAACAACTACATAAAATCATCAATTAAAAATAAATTAATTCATCAAAATGTTTGAATAAAATAATAAATTGTTTAATATCTAAGTACGCGACCGCTGCAGCCAGAATAATGCAATATACGACGGTAGACCACGGTATTCGTATCAAGATGATAATTAAAAATCACGGGGCCCTTTAACAAGCGCGGGGCCCTGGACAAATGTCCCATTTGTCCTCCCCTAGCGCCGGCACTGCGTTACAACACAACTATACAAATTAGTAATTACTTTAAAAGTTTAAAAGTAACAAATAAAATAAAATTTATAAAGGTGATTTATTTCAATACAATTATACCATATTATACATTTGATTCTTTGAACAATTTTATTAAAGTATGTTATAAAATAAAATATATTTATACAATATATAAGTGTAGAAAAAAAGTAAGATAAACAAAATACATACATACTAATAATTGACTTTATTATAACATTATGCAAGGAACATATCTTGTATTTTATACATTTAATTATATCTTATATTTTTTATTTCATTGAAGCACCGTGAATCCTAAATCATGAATGTCTATCTTAGTCCGTGGTTTTTGTTGAAGTGGTCTCATGAGTTGTGGTGGTGATCATCTTTGGCCATTTTTTGTTTATGCTGTCTCTAGTGCCTAGATTTAATATATAAATTATATTATACTAGTGTTTTTACCTCATGGGTTTGCTTTATTCTAATTTACTAATAAAACCCCCTTTCTTATATTAAATCGTAAGAAGTTAATAATATTGTTCATTTTTCTTTTTAAAAAAAAAGTTAAAAATGATTATATTATATGGCAAAATAAAACCTCGTATTTACCTAAACTATAATAATAGAATGCTAATTAATAATTAAAAAGTTAATACAAAATAAAATAAAAAAAATAAATTTTTTTCTTACCACTATCTAAAAATAATGATGGAACGGCACCTTTTTTTAATCTATTCTTTAAATGAATATTTCTGAAGCAATTGAGTGTAAAATGAGCACTACAAACTCTTATACCAGTTATTACTATTTCAGAAGTATCATTCTTTAATCCACATTTTTCTATCCACTTTTTTCTCAGCTCGAAATCCTTAGGATAGCCAAAGAGGCTAAGATCCTTTGATAGCCTGTTAGAGCAGTTTTTAATGGAACATCGTAATCCAGATCTTAAAGTTGGCCTCTTAAAATTTAAACACATAATTCATATTAAAAAAATATATTAATATTAGAAACAGCTAGGTTGCCAATTATAAAGTACAAATTAAAATATAATATGAGCTAAATACATATTTTAGTGAGATAGCATTCAATAGTCTAGTTTGTATAGAGTCTAAATATTTAGGATAGTCTAAAGACTATTTTTTGTAGGAACTAGTAGGTATGGATCCCCTTCCATGTCTTTGTAACCAAAATAATGAACTACAGAGTACTGGTCAGTGTTGTCAGGTCAATCAAAACAAACAGCGCTACAGTTTGCTGAAAATTGCGCCACGCTCGCAATGATGTAGAAATAGTGTTTTGCACGATTGCGGACTTCGTTATCATTATTAGTTAGGTTAGGTTATTCATTATTATCATTATTAACTTATCACCGATTTTTTTATCACATTCTTAAATTCTTATTTCTTATCAAAAATTCCAAAATTTCAAAAACTTGATGATTATATTAATATTAATAGTTGGGTAATAAAATATAATAACAATTCATATTCATTATAGTCATTCAAATTATAATTCCAAGTTTTAAAATAAATAATTCAATATTGAAATGGTCAATCGTCAATGGAATAATATAATATATTATAATAAAAAGTTATAATAATTATATTATACTGCAAAAAACATAAATATGCCTTATTATAAGGATTTTGGATCTCATGGTAAATTAATTTAGCCACTGGGTTCTTTTCTTCAACCTGAGCCAGTGTAAATAATTGTTTTAAGACATCCCATTGTTCCAGGATTCTATCAACACATTTATGAAGAGACAGCCATCTGGTCTGGCTAGGTTGAAGTATTTTAACCTGGGATTCATTCATGAATTTCTGAAATTCTCTTAAAATCGATTGTCGTTTTGGACTACATGAAAAATAAGTAGATATGTTTTGTAACAATATTTTTACTCTATTTGGTATACAAGAAGCAGCTGATGAAGCCATCAAATGAGCAGTATGACAAATGCATCCAATTACTACTACGTGCGGATTTTCTTTCATTAAATATGTTTTGAAAGATTCATTGCAAGTATTTGCAACCCATCATAACTGAAGCATTGTCAGCACAGTAACCAACAATATTTTTTGTACTTAAATTAAGTTTTTTTAAACTATTTTAAAATAAAGTGAATAAACCTATTTCATGAACTACAGGTTGTAACCATCCAACAAATCTTTCGTCATTTAGCCAAGAATCACTAAATAGTTGTTTTCTTACATTTTTTTGTTTTTCTGTTTTTGTCAGTTCCCTGCTTTTTGGTGTCCAATTCTCATCTTTATCGATTTCATCATCACTTATCTCATCTTGACCATCAATTATTGGAAAACCCTAGGTAAGTTTCAAATAAATTAATACATGCAAATTAATAACTTTCTAGGACTACCAATGCCGCTGAAAGCTTTCATAGAAAATTTAATAGCCAATTTTACAGTTCTCATCTAGCAATATATTATGTTATAAAACACTAATTGAAACTCATTCAGAAACTTCATTAAAAATAGCAACGATAGAACAGGGTAAAAAAAATAAATGCCAATACAACAAAAGGAAAAATTAATTAATATTCATAATAAATATATGTGGTTTGTAGCAAATAAAAGTTCTAGTAATTTAGTAAAATATTTAGAGTATGTTGGATTAGGTACGCTATCCCACTATAACTAATTTATAGGTAACTCATTAGTCATTACATATTTATTACATTTTTATACAAAGGTATTTATCACATATTTTTATAATTCTTCATTTTTACTTTTTTTTTTTTAAATATATTTATAATGATAATAATAAATGATATGGCAACGTTGCACGTAAATTCGTTCTCAATCATATTCTTTTTCGTGTTATTTTTGGGTCAACGGTCAGTTCTTTGTTATTTTTAAATGTTCTCAATTGTTCGATAGCCACATTGGTGACCAAACTATTAATTATTTTATAAATATAAGTGGACAAGAACATTACCGATGCCCAATTAAAAGTACTAAATTACTAAACAGAAACCAAGACGTTGAAGACCAAGGCCCTACATATTCAATAAGGAAAGCATGGAAAATCGTAAAAAAAAGATCAAGATATCAGACTGGATTGACAATGTTTATAAAAAATATAAAATATACTTATTTACTGACCGGCATATTTTTATTACTCATATTCTCAGTAGTAAGTGTAGATGACTGCCTTGGTGATATATTTCCAGTTTCAGCATAATTACTTAGAAGAGCATACCTATATAAAAATAAAAATACTATTGAAAATGAAAAATTAAATTATAAAGATCCAGAAGTATTACTTAGAAGAATAACCATAAGGTTGAGGAATAGTATCTTCAAATAACATTCGCTTTTTTTTTGGCTTATAGTTTCTTTCCAAAAAATGATCACTACATACAAGGTGCCAATCATAACAACGATCCATTTTAAAAACTTGAAGCCATTTTTTTCTCATGGATTCATCCTTGGGAAATCTATATTAAAGCAAATATCAATAAATACAATAAATTGCTAATGTTAGGTTCGGAAAATAAACCCAAAGTAAAAATGTTTAGGCTAAACGCTAAACCGGATCAAAATTATTTCACAGTATCCCGCACCAGGATAATGAACCATGTCAATAATATGATTCAAAGATCCATGTGCGTTTATTTCACAACAGTTTGAGCGAGTAAATTTCTAGAACCAATTGATACTCACCCATGATAAATAACTCGTGGACGCTTACCCTTGGTGTTTTTATATGAATTGCTACACACTACACACTTATGCATTTTAAAAACGTAGTGTTATATATTATTATCAAAAATATATTTAAAATAATTAATATAAAAGGGCAACCACCAAGAATAATTTGACAAATCGGATATACGCAGTTGGAAGTTAGAAAAAAGAACTCGATCAATGGACGTGGTCACTCAGTAGTCAGTCTTGGGATGAACAATACGGCACTCCGGTAGTAGTCCGGTCTCCTATAGATCGATGATTGTGTTTTGAGGTGTTTTAAGTGTACGTTTTCTCGTGGTAGTTAATTCCATAGAATAATGGTGGTTGGGTATGGCGTGTCGTATTTTTTGAAGGTTAGGTTAAGGAATGCTTTAAGTATAATTTATTACCCGGCCGACATACAGTCACAGTGGCCAACCGGCTATATAGTAGACAAGGTGCGGAGTGGTCGGTGAACACGATGCGTATCAAAGTGTTGCTACCTATCGATTCTGTCTATATATCTGTGCTGCAATCTCGCCGACCACTGTACAAAGGCACAAAGCACATGAATGAAACCAAGAAAAACATAACTTTTTGATTTCACAGGCACAAATTTGATGAGATATTATATGTATTATTAAAAATGAATGTTTGAAATGCGCCTGTTTATTATTTAGCCAGACAAACACGGGCGGTAAAAAAATAATAATATTCTGTCACGGAAACTACGAAAACTAAAGACAACCGACTAGTGATACTCCTGTAATCAAGGTTCTTTATAATCGTGGTAACACTGGTAACGAGTACTTTTGTTCGTTCCATTGGTACATAGTTACAAATTACCAAATGGTCCCCAACGGCCCACAGTAGAAATTCTGTTCGTTCTACCTCCACCACGAATTAAAGTATATCTTAATTCGTGACCTCCACGTACTCCGTACGATTCTACGATCTAAAGCATTACACATTTACACGAGAAATATTACACACTAACAATTATTTCGCAGGATTGCTGGAATGAATAAATCAGGAAAGTATTACGTACACATGTACGTAGGTAATAATCCGGAAATTATTAGGGACACAGGCAAATATTATACGGGAATGTAGGTAATAAAATACTTTACAAAACAACATAAATACACCATTTTTATTTTTTTTTCCGAAAATAATCACTACATGGAAGCCGAACTGTTTTCACATTGCTTAGCTCCAACATAAATATACCTTAAGCCGGATTCCCACGACTGGTGTACTTGCCAAGTACACGAATAATCGCCATGGCGAGTGATTTACAAATATAGTGTTCCGACGACTGGCATATTTGTCAAGTAGGCCAATACTCGCGCACTTGTGCAAGTAGCCAAGTAAACTGTTCCCACAGCTGGTTAAGTTATTACAAGTATTGGCAGTGGGCAAGGCCGGTTTTAAGGGGGGGCACCGGTGGGCAATTGCCCGGGGGCGGCACACTTTGGGGGCGGCAAAATTATCTCAGATAAAATAAACAAAAAATTAATTTTTTTTGTAAAGAGAAAGATTTCTAAAAAATGATACATTTTATTACTATTTATTTTTTAAATTCACATATGCGTACATTTTTTTTTACCTATATTTTATCATTTTAAATAAAGAAAAATAAACGTTATTAACTAAGCAGGAAGGTTCCTACTAGGTATCATGGAAGATTCTAGGTAGATAGTACCTAAGACCTAAGTTATAAATTAGTTACTTATGTTTTTTTGTATAGTTTACCTACTATTAAAAATCTAATATTGGAATGCATAGGTACCTAGTTAAAATTGCTAAAAATTAACTGCAAATTAAATTTCAATGAGAAAGGGAAACATAAAAAAGGTGGGCAAGTGGGTGTCGCTCTGCTGTACAGTAGGTTACAAGTGTATCACTGTATAATACTATAATATTAAATTTGAATTCAACGATATAATATCATTGTATATAAGAAAAACGATTCTGAGCGGAGATTGTATGCCAGTCTAGGTATAAGACATAATATATACTTATCTATGGTATTAAAAAAAATTGACCTATAATAGGTACCTATAATAAATTCCAAATTAATCATATCAAAATATCCATTAGGTACTTATAACGCGTTATACATCAACAAAAACCGTGATACTATCATAGATATATAATAGTACACTTTAGAAGTTTCAAGTACCCACGAATAATATTATTCAATCACAACAAAAATAACAAAACTAGTTATTCTAAGTTTTTTAATATGTAATTTCGTCCAAATTTGAATTTAAAATGTCTGTAAAAAATAACTGTGTTCATATATTTTTTAGATTTTTTGGTTACAGTATGAACTATTTATGAGAACCTTTGTTTTAAATTTGCAATCCTTAGCTATAAAAACTGAACATTTTATAATTTATCAATTACAATGATTGATAATTTTCGAGATTTTGATAAATTTTGTTAAAATTCGATCTTTAAATGCTTATAAAAAAAAACTGTGCCTATGTATTTTTAATATTTTTCAACTGCTATTGTAACAATATATCAGGAGACTTGTATTAATTTTTTACACTTTTTGGCCCAACAGATAAAACTTTATTGATATTTATAGAAAAAAAACTAAAATAAATTGAAAGATGTAAATGTCCATAAACAGCTCAAAAAGAGTCAAAATATTTTCAAAATTGTATGGTGTATAGGAAATGCTAATATAAATATTCAGTGAAATTTTCATGTATCTAAAGTTATTCGTTTTTGAATTACAACAAAATAAGGAAATCGCTACCTACATGAGAAATCGAGTGAATATTCAATGTTGTAAAAATTTGAATTTCAAACGCTCTTAAAAATTTAATTTGACTTTCTTATAGACATTTTTTTTTTTGATAAAGGTAGATAATCTTATAAGGAACCTTGTATTACATTTTCAAATCTTAGATTTAAAAAGAAAAATTTTTACGAATTCTTAACTCAAAATAATTTGCTAATTTTCGTGATTTTTCCATATTTTGTCAATTTTTGAACTTTAAATACTTATTAAAAAAAATTGTGACCAAGGATTTTTAATATTTTTCATCTGCCTTTGAAACAATATATTAGGAGCCTTCTATTAAATTTTCAAGCTTTCGCAACCAACAAATAAAATTGTATTGATATTTTTAGAAAAAAAACTAAAAAAAAAATGGAAAATGAAAATGTTCCTAAACAGTTCAAAATAAATCAAAATATTTTGAAAATGTTATCTTTTGTGAAAACTACTGGGAAATTTTTACTTTTGATCCCCCAAAGTACCAAATAGATTCACTTTCCTATCAGAAAAGATACTGATGAAAAAAATCCAAGCTCTTTTACTCTCTTAAAACGTGATGACAGACACAAAAAAAATTTAAAAAAAACACACATCATTGTAAAATCAATACATTCATCGTTAATTCGTTTCACTCAGAATCTAAAATTAATTAACTTTATGCCCCCCCCCCAAAAAAAAAATAAAATTTAGGCACCACTTCTATGGTATTAAAAAAATGTGTTGGAAAGGGGTGCCATAAATATTGTGCCCGGGGGCGAAAAATCCCTAAATACGGCCCTGGCAGTGGGGGAGGTATTTAATATATAATTTGGAATTATAAATTAGTTTTTAGCAGTGTAGTCCTACTATTTATCCTTGTGGTCGTGTAGTAAATAGTTTATAAAGCCGAAAAAGATAAATAATCTTATAACACACCATGAGTGACGACGATAAAGTATTGGCTTGTGCGTCATTTATCGTTATGTGAGGCGAATACTTAAATTTGAAAAAAACTACAAAAAGCCCAAAAAAAAGAAGGTGGTGGACGTCATCTAAGCCGCAATAGGTAAGTTTAATATAACATTTTATGTACCTAGATATTTTTAGATATTACTTACAAAATGTTTAAGATATTTAAAAGTATTTAATATTCATATTATTAATTAGGTAGGTACCTACTTAATTATAGTTAATATTTAGACTATTTAAGCTATATTTTAGTATTTTTAATTAAATGCGAGTGCCTAATCGTAAGTACTCAATACATTCTCCATTTAGAAACTATATCTTTAGCAATATATTGCATATAATATGCATATTATATACACTATATACTAATTATGTTACCTATTGGTACATAGGTACAACAAATACATAGATATTATATTACGTTGATTAATATACAGGTAAAAATAAGTATTACATGTAATGCAGATTATTACTATATGTTTATTGTTTACATGTTATAAAGGTACAACGCGACAAATCTAATCGACGATTTGAGGCGTGAACCATCTGGTAAATTTGAGAATTTTTGCCGAATGTCAGCTACAGATTTTTAATTTTTATTACCTATGCAAAATTGGTCCAATGATCCGAAAATCAGATACCAATATGAGAGAAGCGATCCCTGTACAGGAAAGGTTAGCAGTTTTTTTTTATTTATTTTACTCTATATCGTAATTGTAATATTGTTACATATTTTTTATAAAGACTGGCAGTTGCACTTAGATTTCTGGCATCCGGCGATAGTTTCAGTAGTCTGTCATATTTATTTAAATTCTCAATCCAAACAGTGTCGAGATGCGTATACGATGTTTGTAGCACCTTTAATACAAGTACTAAAAGAAGAAAGAACATAAGCTTCAAATATATTATGTGGAATAATGTATTGTACAAATATTTAAGAATTTAATAAAATTAAAATTTACCTTTAAAATATAATTTTTTTTTTGATTATAAAATATATAAATAATAAAATACATTAGGTATTACTTGACATAAGTATTAAATAGTCTCCGCTATTAATAAAATAAAATAAAAGTACCTTCTAAGCTTAAGTTAAAAAAATAAAAGAACAGTGTTAATTCATGTTATTAGGGGTTTGATAATGGTATGATGATGTTGAAGGTACCACTACAGGATAGCTATTATAAGTAGAATATGAAGGAGTAGAAACATGTCCCTGGAAATTTCCTACGTGGTAATCGGGTTGTAAATGTTGAGAAGACGCCGATGATGGAGTTAGTTGATTTTTAAATTTGAAGTTTGACGGTCACCGTTCGTAAAGTAAACACATTGTTTCGACGAAGAAGAACCCACTGTGACGGTTCATTTTCTATGATAGCCTCTATCGAATCAGCGGCAAAAAAAACGTAGTGCGGTGTGGGCAGTAAAATCCGCGAAAGGTAGAACCGTTTGGACTCCACGGCGAAAATACCGCAGTGCGTTTAGAGTCTAATTATCCGTAATTTATGGTGTATAATACCTATAATATAATAACATACCTATACAGTGAAACCTCTAATGCCGGCCATTCCTAGTCACTGGAATTTCGTCCGTTATTCGGAGGTGTTCGCTATTCAGAGGGTTTAAATTATTGTAAAAAGTTTGTATTTGCTTCACAAGAAAACGTCCGCTATCGGGAGGTTTTCAATATTGTTATATGTCACATTTGCATATGCGCTAGGTGCTACCGTATTCCTGGTCTATAGGCGAACGAATGGTGAAAACACGAGTGTTCCCATGGCTGGTGTACTTGTCAAGTATATTGGCGTTCCTTTGACTTGTGACTCGTTTACCGACAATCCTCGGGAAATGCACCAGTGACAAATAATTGTACAAGTATACCGTTCCCACTACATGGCAAGTATACACAAGTGGCGAATATTTGGCAAGTACGCCAGTCGTGGGAAACCGGCTTTACATTGGAAAATATAACGCTGGAAAAATATGTGGTACTCTATTTTATGTGCACAAGATAGGTAGCCTAAAAAATAATAATTTCAATTTAACAGGAGTTATATACAACACAATATAACTAACCTATAGATAAGATACATGTTAACGTAACTCAATAAAAATAAAATAAAGATGATAATTGTATGACTATTACCTACTTGTTATAGCGAAAAAATACCCGGATTATTGGACGTACCTGATTATCACACGACCGGATATTGCCTTAGTCATTTTTCTAGACGTCAGCTAGACGCTAGTGTACTATAGTGACTAGTGTTGTAGTAGTGTGTACAGTGAAAGTAACGTGTAATTTTATAAAATATGAGTGATCTGGAAGATAGTTATTTCAGGGATAGAATCCCCGAGAAACCAAACCTGACCAAACGTTTGCAAACACACAAAAAACAAAAATTTCGAAAAGAATGGATGGATCATCAAGATTTTAAAGTTTGGCTCGCTCCAGTTATAGGTGAACCACTTAAAGCAAAATGTAAATTATGTGTTATTGATTTAACAGCAGAATTAACAGTTTTGAAAAAACATCAAACTTCACAAAAACATAAATTATCTGTCGTTCAACCAAAAATATAAAAACTCCAATTAATGATTATTTTGATCCAAAAAGCGTTAAACTTCAAGAACAAATTAAAAGGGCTGAAATGTTATTATGTGGCTTTTTAGCTGAGCATAATTTATCATTGAATAGTATAGACCATCTAAGTAAATTATGTCAAATACATTTACTGATTCAAATATAGCAAAAAGTTTGAATATCGGCCGTACCAAAGCAACGGCAATTACAAAAAATGTTATTGGGAAATGCTATAATGAAGATTTGGCAAGTAAATGAATGAAGTACAAGTTTAGTGTTATTATTGATGAAAGTACGGATGTAGGAACAGTTAAAAATATGGCAATTTGTATTAAATTCTATGATTTGGAAATAAATAAATTGGAAACAACATTTTGGGAACTAGTTCAATTTTTCACGGACCCTGAAAGTGCGAAGAAAGGTGCTACTGCTGAAATATTATACAACACGTTATTGAATTCTTTTATTGAAAATAAAATCCCATTGGATATTATAATTGGTAAGCAAATATAAATTACAAAACAAATTATTTTTAAAATAATAATTACTATTTTTGTAAATATAATATACATACGTGCTCCGCTGTTTATTTTATACACAGTCTTGCATACACATAAATAAATTGCCTATATTAAACTCCTTAAAAACGGTCGGTATCGACTATAATTGAAACCCCTTAATACTAATAATTTGCATTTTTTGACTTTTTTAATTATTTAGGTCATGTTTTTGCATATTTAAGTCATATTTTCCTTTTTTAGTTTATTTTCCGGTATTTTTAATCAAATATTGACATTCATTAATCATTCAGCAGTAATAAAATAGTTATGATCATGTTGAGTGGTGTTGACATTTTGTTTTCTATAACTTGTGTCCATAAAATCACCTAAAAAACATATAATATAAATAGTATATTTATACTTTGTACGGTTACCATTACATTTGGTTGGTAATTATGTTAAATATGACAATAAAAGACAAATGACAGTAAAATAACTCCCAAAATGCAGCATAATGTTTTTGGTTAATTAACCAGTTAAGTTTTGTTTACCATTTAAATATATATTTAACACGTTATCATTGCACACATTGGTATCATCATCATTAATATTGTCTATGTCCATAGGCTCTTCCATTTTTTCATTATTGCCTTCAAGCATACATAAAAAACATATAATATTAAAAAAATTAAATTAAAAAAAGGCACATTTAATTAACATTATATTTAATAATATTTGTATAGGTAAGCTTTTAGATATTTATTTTATTAAGTTAGAAATTCATGTCACTATTGTATAACTACTATTAATTGAATATCAGTCATAATATTTTTTCAAAGTTATAGAAACAAACAAATACATAAAATAAAAAATATAAAACTAAAATGTTGGTCCAACTTTTTATTGGTCTTAAGCACAGCAACGGCCAATGGCCATTAGCTATAGGATGGGTACTGTTCTATTGTAGGATTTATGGGACGGACGGTAGGGAACGATCGGAGGAACACGTTTTTGTGTTTGGCAGAATTGTGGGCACCCGTAAGTTAGGGTATGCCCGATTAGGGGATGGGGGCCTCTTTCTCCAATCACCGCCCTTGAACGAGATTAGAACTAGAGACCGTACGTGTCAGTGGCGGTTTTTAGGGGGGCGCTCTTTTTTTTTCACTAAATGCTTGAATTGCTTTAATTATGGTGGGAGGAGGCCCAAAAATTGAAAATAGCCTCTCCCTTGATGTTGTATAAAAACCGCCACTGGTACGAATCGTTTCCAAGGATACTATTATAGTCATGACAAAATATATATAACTAGCTGATCCCGTGCACTTCGTTGCCCATTAAAAATGCCAACTCTATATGAATAATATATGTTTTTTTTATAATATAACTGTTACCATAACAACAATTTTAAACCAATGGTAACCAATAATTATTATTATTATAGCTTTGAAACCAACGGCAACCATTTTTAAACAAAAATTTCCATCGGAAATCTCAAAATCTTAGTTTGAGCACCTGATCCCGGGGTTGGTCCTCTCCCTTTTTAAATTAACATATCTTCTGCACAGATTTCTAATCTATCTACATATATAAAAATATCTGATCCCGTGCACATCATTTCCCGTTAAAATTGCCAACTTTATATGAATAATATGTTTTACATAATATCACCATTCACCATGGCAACCATTCATATACAAAAGTACAAAACATTCCATCGGAAAATTCAAAATCTATATATATAAAAATGAATGTATGTCAGTGTGTCAGTGTGTCTGTGTGTCTGTGTGTCCATGTTACCATGGTTACCAAGGTTGCCATGGTTACTAAGGTTACCAAGATTTCATATCAATCTATATATATAAAAATGAATGTATGTCAGTGTGTGTGTGTGTGTGTGTGTGTGTGTCCATATTACCATGGCAACCATATCTGTATATAAAAAACAGTAAGCTGATTGACTGCTATCAACGCACAGCTCAAACCATTGGACGGATCTGGCTGAAATTTGGCATACAGATAGCTATTATAATATAAACGTGCGCTAAGAAAGGATTTGCCAAAATTCGCATTTTAAATAGGTGCTGAAACAGGGACATTGAGATTCACGATAGAAATTGGAAATTTTATTTTTATTTATTTATAGTTGCCATTGGTTACAGTCTACATTAGAAATTAGCATTTATTTATTGGTTGCCATTGGTTATTCGGGCAGATCAGGTACAAGCTTGCATCAAATCGAATTATTGAACAATGCTTACCAGGGTGGCAGAGTTGCACTTACCGCAGAAAATTACACCCAAAAAGAGTTCAACAATCATAATTTTTTTAAGAGTTGCGATTTTTTACGAGCAACCAAATTTATTATATTAATCCACAGTATTACATCAAAATAAACTTGGTATAACTTTGATACTTTAGAGTTAAATCATACACTTCCGTACAAACAGCACGGGGTCCGCGATCTACCGCAGGTAGATTGCCTACCTGATAATGTACTGCTGCGATTCAGAATTTTTATTCAGGGCAACGGGAAAGATAAGATAAATTTTGAACACCATACACCGAATATTGAATAATGAATTGAACAAAGTTTGAGTAGGTAGTATTGAGTTGATCCATTTAACGGGCGACGAAGTGCACGGGATCAGCTAGTATATATATATATATATATATGGTTGCCATGGTAATATGGACAATTGGACACACACACTGACATACATTCATTTTTATACATATAGATATTATATATATATTAAGTCATGGCCATAGTCTAGTCGGTCGAGAAGAGATGTCCTATCCCCAATAATGAACAAACGGTAAACTAAATAGAAACCCTTGCATGTGTGAAGTGTGGAGCCGCATACCAAACGAAGAGTGATTAAGGTTCCTTTGGATACGAATAACATTGTTATGTACGTCTCTATTATAATTAGAACGGTAATTATTGATTTTAATAATGACGTTGCAATGTCGTATTGTCGTTTGCGTTTCGTTGAGTGGAAATTGCTTTCGCTGTACGTACGAGTCTGATAGCTTTGTACGCGCCATCTACCGGTCGCTATACTCAACAAACTTCTAAGCACTAAACATGCTTTTTAAAAGATGTTCAATGGCAAAACCTATCATAGTGTCGCTAATAATAGAGTTTGCAGTGGGAAATTTTTTTAATGCCGTCGCACTCGGCGGTGGCGATACATTTTTAGTCTTGGGGTATGAGAAAAAAATAGTGTGTGGACTACGTCACATGATTTGACGGTACTTATGTGTTATCTCGACTACCCAAATATTTCCAAGACTACCTGTTAGATTCTATTTAAAAATGTATATTCCCGCATTGTAATCTGTATCATTGTAATTGACAATTTAATTTTGTTTTCGATGTACAATGTACTATCCACGTACCTTGCCATCAGACCAGGTATTTATGTCGTCAGTCAGTCGACAGCCGTCCTTATTACGTCCGTCAGTTATAATTTACTGTATAGACGTATAGTACATACGCGCTACGTCTAGCCAACATGAATTTTTTTAATTTGCCATCTTCAGAAAAGGAAGCTGTGCAATTTCTTCAAGAACGCGGAGTGTTGCCAAGTGTACGGATTTGTCAAAACAATCACTTGGCAAAGTTATATTTTGGAAAAGAAATATTTTGGAAATGCAATGTTAAGAAATGCCAAAAAAGGATAAATGTACGTAATGATAATTGGTTTGCAAAATCACGAATATCGTTTACGATTGCCGTACGATTTATATATGGTTGGTCTCACGAAATGACGAGTGCGAAATGGTGCGAGCAACAATTAGGTTTAAGCTTAAATACAGTTATTGACTGGAATAATTACCTACGCGAAGTATGTGCAATGGCTATTGAAAATAAACCACAAACAAAAATAGGTGGACCGGGGAAAATCGTCGAGATCGATGAAAGTCTATTTTCGAAAAGAAAAAACCACGTTGGCAGGGTACTTCCCGAACGGTAAAAGGACGTTTCGCCCCCGCCGTTTCGTCCCCGTCAAAAAAACGAATCCACGGACGTTTCGTCCCCGTCCATTATTAAGATAGGACATTTGGCCCCTGGAATTTTAAATCACCAAATTTTAATCTTTTTTTAAATTCTTAAATAAAAAAAAACAATTATAATGATAGTAGTAATAATTTGTACAAATATTATAATTTTTATTAGATTAAAATCACTATTATTTTTCAAAAATATAAAATCACAATCACGTCATTTACAATACAAATTATTCATATTAGATCACTTATTCTTTTCAAAAAATATAAAATATCATTATCATTATTACATTTAAATTCATTACAATGTTGTTTTATTTTATCTTCGTAATGATTTGTTTTTGGCATATTTATAATTTCATTTTTTTTTTTGTCAATGCAGTCACTGCAGATGCATTGCACATCTGTAAGGACTCGATAAAAATAAAAATGTTTGGGTGTCTAATTCTTACAATATTTTTAAATTTATTATTAAACCCTTCAGACACGTTGTTGGTTCGACCATAACCTTCTTTCGTGGCATTATACACGTTCCACATATACGGAGAAAATATTGGCGGACGTCGAACTAACCTAATCGTACCGTACTCTGTAGGAATAGATTTGTATGTTCCATTAACGTATGTAGAATTAAAGTACACCAAAATGTCGTCCAATTCTTCAATAGTCTTCAATGAATTGAATAGTATTGACATCCCTATTAAAAATTCCAAACACTGAAGTATGTGTATACTGATTTATTTATTACTTATTTGAAAAAAATATAAATTACCTCTTTTTACAGTATTGGTTGGAAGAAATGCTAATGCAGGAATCATTTTTACGGCTGATCTGAAGTTTTTGTCTTCTTTATATTTTATAGCCAAACCCAAGTCCTGAACTTTTCGCCAGATAGACTGGTTTAAATGATAATAGCATAACTGCACCGATACTTCATCATGAAATACTTCCTTGATAGCCTGTATTACAGATTGTTCGAAATCAATTGAAATTATTGAAAGCGATACAAATTGATCCCGTATAGCAGACAATAACTCAATATAAGTGTCCTTATTTTTACGTTGAAGCAAAGCGTACATCACGGGAATTATTAAATTATTTATGCTTGCATGTAATATGTATACTTGGTAGAATTCAGAAGGACAAGTTGAAAATGTTCCGTCCATATATATTATTTTAGTTTCAGATAAAATTTCGCGGCACGTTTTTGAAGAAAATATTATAATACGATTATTATTATTTTTGTTGTCGTAAAATAAAAATGGTTCTGGATTGAGTTCTCCACCGGTTGTACTCCACTGTGTTCCTTCCAATATGATATCGTCTATTTTTGCAATTTTAGGATAAATATTGCTACGGACACGCCGTAAAGTCCTTTTCATCGACTCTTCTTTCGGAATTAACTGTCTACTTTCGTTGGATAATGGGATTACATTAAGTGAAAAAATTCGAGACGGTATATCGTAGTTTTGTTTTGCTGCGTTCTTCATAATACATTTAGCTCTTTCTGCATTTATTAAGTCAGTATTACCTTTATGATGGTGATCTCCAAACTTTAAAACAAAATTGATTCCATCGTCAGTTGTAACTGATCCATCACATAACCCTTTGTGAACACACACCCACCGGATACCAATTTTCACATTTTTTTGTTTGTAATATAAATAATCGTTGTGCACTAATTTCTTCTTATTTCTTTTCGTGGTCAACACCTCCATAGTTCACTGAAGCCGTACGCACAATTACACAGACAAACTATTACTGCGTAGTGTGCTCTGTGTATATATACTATTATAGTATCCAGGGCAGGTATAAAATATTATTTAGTCTTTACAATATAAATAGAAAAAGTTTATAACATTTTTCCTATAACAAATTAGATAGGTATCATCACAGTTGTACTAGTTTTGCGCAGTAGATACGCATCTCCTTCACCTCCGGCCTATATCGTAGTTCTCCGTTGATGATCCTTGATTACAAACGACCATTACACTCAACCTGTTATATTTTCAATTATTTCTAGATACGATTTTATCAATTGAAATATCAGATATCTTATCGTAATGTATTACGATCAACTCATTTTTAAATGCGTTAAACACGAGCGAGCGAACACTGCGATAAATGTGTACTTTTTAATGTGACATCGTAGTGTGTATTTCGTGGTCTCGTTGTTCGTTATATTTAAAAGTACGATCGTCTTGCAAAGCAATAAAATATGTTTCTGAATATCCAAATGAACATTTAAAAAGTGACGGTCACATTTTGTATTGTACTGCTTGTGAAAAATCCATAGCAATTGATCATTTTTTTTTTTTTTTTTATAATACATATTTTGAATTCTTTAGCACATATTAATGTACATATTTTTATTGTGTAAATACATACTTTGGTTATATAAATACATATAAATCCGAGCCCTAGTAATACCTAACCTAACCTAACCGGGGGGCCAAACGTCCTATGGGTAGGTATAAATAAATCTATATAACTCCCGGGGGCCAAATGTCCTATCTTAATAATAGACGGGGCAGGCCCGTGGGGAATGGTAAACTCCTACAAATGTAGTGTTATCTCCTACAAAAGATAGTGTTAACTCCTACAAAATATAGTGTTAACTCCTACAAAAGATAGTGTTAACTCCTACAAAAGATAGTGTTAACTCCTATAAAAGATAGTGTTAACTCCTACGAAAAATTAATACCGCTCGTATTGCTGTAAAAAATATCAGTCTTGCAATATATTAACACATAAAATAAAAATGGTTTGAAAAATATAATAAAAATGTAAATAAAACAATTATCATTATCATTTACGTTTAAAACAAAATTTTTAAAATATAGATAATAAAAGTGTTAATAAAATAATAGTCATAATCTTTTAATCCTAAAACAAAAATTATTTGAAAAATATAATAAAACAATAGTCAAAATCACATACGTTTAAAAAAAAAATTTTTGAAAAAAATAATAAAACAATACTAATTCATAATCATTTACGTATATTTTTATGACTTGTTTTATCGTTATTCAACAATATTCGATGCCATATCGCTGATCTATTTAAAACATTTTGTACTACAAGTGCCGATATGAACGTATAGTATAGACGTATAGTATATAATATGGATATAATCTAACCTTCGAGAATTATCATACAGCGTATAAACAAGTTCTATTCAAGCGTTTGTTTATTAAATAATGTATATTTATTATTTTCAAGTTATGATAATTTTGAGCTTTTTAACTTTAAAAATGTGAATTTAAATAATATTACCCTATTTTCTAAAGGGAAAAATGTCTATGTAGGAGATTACAATATCTTTGATTTTCAGGTAAAAATTTTAAAAGGTTATTAGTGTAGGAGTTTACATTTAATGATGATTCAGGTAAAAAGGTTATTCGTGTAGGAGTTTACATTTGGCCAGGCCCGTAGCCAGACCAAATTTTCAGGAGGGGCAAAGCAAATTTTTGGGGGGGCATTATATATAAATGTATTAAATATTAATGCAATTTTTAATTTATTTACATTGATATCCCATTAAATTAACACAACTATAATTTTCTATCTAATAGTAATAATAATAATAATAATAATAATAATCCATTTATAATAGAATATTTTGGAAATTTACAATGAAACATTTGTTTTAAAGTTACAAAACGAATAATACTAAATAATAAAAATAAAACTTATATTAAAGTTTACATAGATAATTATAATATTCATCATATTCACTGATGTTACGTGGTTAAATTTTGAACATTTTAATATTAATTAATACAGCTTCAATTTTCTATTATTCTGCTTGTTGAAGTTCGTTAATAATAGGTCCATGTTTAAGTTAATACGGCTAAAAAAACTTTTTTGATCTATTCTATTACCGATGAAAGTGTTATTAGCAATAAAATACATACCTACCTAAAAGTCTTTCTAATATTTTTTAGGGGGGGGCAATGACTGGGTTTAGGGGGGGCAATGCCCCCCCTTGCCCCCCCGTGGTTACGGGCCTGAGACGGGGACGAAACGTCCGTGGACTTGTTTTTTTGACGGGGACGAAACGGCGGGGGCGAAACGTCCGCGATTCTTCCCGAACAATGGATATTCGGAGGAATTTGTCGAGAGACAAACGAGTCATTTTTAATAAAAGTGCCAGATAGAAAAACAGGAACTCTGCTTTTGGCGATCCAAAATAACATTCAACAAGGTACCACGATATTTTCAGATTGTTGGCGTGCTTATAACACCGAATTATTAAAATCATCCGGCTTCGATCACTATACTGTAAATCACAGTTATAATCTTGTTGACCCAATCACAGGAGCACACACACAAACGATTGAAACAAAAAACAGAGGGGAACAGCTCGTCATCATTTAGATTCCTATCTTACTGAATTTGTTTGGCGACAAAACATTGGAGACGATACACCATTTGATCAAATTCTAATGGATCTTAAACATACTTCCCTCCACAAAAAAATTATTAATTACCATACATATTATATTTACCAGATTTTTTTTAAGTACTTATACATTATTTTGTAATCATTTTTTATAACCGTAAAAACGTAAATAATTATTAATTACATGTTTTATTATTATAATTTATAACATATTACCCATGGCTAAATATATATATATATTTAGCCATGATATTACCTATGTCCTATATTGTTTATTATAACTTTATTATAACTTGTGGCAAATACTATATATGACAATACGGGACAAACAATAATGATTGTAGACGACATAGCCCCCCGAAAATACTCGAACGCGCTCTATGTGTCAAATACTGAACTTCATATTATATTAATTAATAAATTAAAATTTAATACAAGTTTTCTAATATATTTTTACAATAGCTGAATAGCAGTTGAAAAATACATAGGCACAATTTTTTTTATAAGCATTTAAAATTCGAATTTTGACAAAATTTATCAAAATCTCGAAAATTATAAATCATTGTAATTAAAAAATTATAAAATGTTCAGTTTTTATAACTAAGAGTTGAAAATTTAAAACAAAGATTCTCATAAATAACTCATACTGCTGTAACCAAAAAATCTAAAAAATATATAAACACATTTATTTTTTACACATTTTAAATTCAAATGTGGACTAAATTACATATTAAAATCAAGAATAACGATTTTAGTTTGTTTGTTGTAATTTAAAAATATTATTTGTTGATGTATGATTGTATGAAACATTTAGAGTAAGTATATTGTTATATTTTATATACACTCAATGACATTTTAAAATGTAATTTTTGGGGAAAAATGGTTTACAGTAATATTTAAAAAATTATAAATTGTTCAATTTTTCACCGTGCGGCATTAAAGTAGTGTTGTGCGTATTCCTATATTATAAACGTAAAATCGCAAACTTTGGATGGCAAATAACTTCCAAAATAATGGTTTTCGTAATTTTTTTTTGTACCACCATTCTTAAATCATTAAAATAGCTAAGTATGTTTCGTAAAAATATTTATGCCCTATGTTGTACACTGTGTTTAGCCAATATTTGTATTTTTGCCCTGCCCCCCTCGTGCATCTCCCAAAATAAGCATTGGATCCGCCACTGGCGCAAATTGATGAATATTATTGGGAGACTATTATATTATATGAATTACTATATTTCGTCCATTTTTAGTGCATATAATTCTGGGCCCTTCAGCCCTTGATAAATATAAATTAAAAACCAAGCGATCTCCATTTTATTGGAATGAATCTATATATAGTATTTGATAACAAAAATAAATATTTATAATAATTATGCGTGATTAATATAATATAATAATATAAACATGCCATGGGCCTTTATAGTTCATGAATTCAATTAATAATTAATTGTAATATATAACATAAAATATAACAATGCCTTCACACAAAAGTTGATCGTTTTGGAGTTGTACAAATAACAGCCGAAGAAATAAAGGCTTAAGTTTTCATGAATTTCCATCAGATGATAATTAGTAAGTATACAGTTATTAGTTACTATAGTTAAAGTCAAATATCTATAAGGAGATTTATCGGCCATCTCAAGGGGGTAACACAGATTGTACACAATTATAAAGGTAACCTGTGGTAGTTCATTAAAATTATTATTATTTTATAAATTTCATACTTTCATAGAAATAACTGGTCATTTTTATTGTAATCAGCAATATGAATATTGAGAATAAATAATAAACTACAATACTAGAGCGCGTTGGTTACATTCTTGGGGGGCATACTTTTGTCGTGATTTTTGACACTAGTAAGTTGTCCCGTATTGTCATATTATAGTATTTGCTTGTGGTAACCAAATTGTGGTAGTCGATATAACACGGTTGTGCACCCAAGGTAGTCGAGTTAACGCGTAAGTACCGATTTGACTACCTGAGGGCCGTTCTTACGACGTCCGGTTAAAGTTAACCGACACTTAACCGGAAGAATTCTGCCGGTAATAAAATCTGTTATCAGTCGGTTAGCGTTAACCGACACTTTACCGGACATTGTAAGAACGGCCCTAAGTAGTGGATACCACTACACAGCGTCAATCGACAATCCTACCGTCAATGACATGACATATTATAGATGATTATAGTATTCGGTTTAATATGTGGGCTGATCCCGGAAGTACTGCAACTCCGGGCCAACCCGCGGTGGAGCAGGAGCAAGCTCCTAATCTCCACCAATTTTCAAAAAATTAGTTTAACATTTGAATCACTATATAAGTGATTTATCAGATGTTAAGCTGATAAGAACAGATACTACACTTTTGATCTTAGCCATTAGGCCGAGAAGCGATAACATTGCATTCACAAACGCAAAACTAAATAGAAACCCTTGCATGTGTGACGTGTAGAGGCGCATACCAAACGAAGAGTCGTTCACTCGTGATTAAAGGTACTTTGGATACGAAAAGCATTGTTAAGTACGTCTTTATTACAACTAGAACGGTAATTATTGATTTTAATAATGACGTTGCAATGTCGTTTGCGTTTCGTTGAATGAAAATTGCCATCGTCGCTGTACGTACGAATCTGATACGTTTGTACGCGCCATCTACCGGTTGTTTTACGCAACAAACTTCTACTTATTAAACGGCTCACGTTATGCTTTTTAAAAGATTTTCAATATGCAATTTTAATAAAATCTTAGAAACAACACAATACGTCTATAGTATAGACTCTATACTGTCTAGTATACTACACAGTACACATCATAATAGAGGATACATTTTGATTCTGAGCTGAGAAAAGAGTTTATTGATTTTATAACGGTGTGTGTTTCATTTCATTATTGTCTGAAGAGTTAAGACATTTCTTCTGGTAGAAAAATGCTCCGATCATCAACTTCGACAGAGATTTCTAGTAGCAAATTGTAAATTTGTAACTATTTGCTACTTCGAGGAGACAATCAGCTGTGGTCAGTTATTTTTGTTTTTTTATGATAGTTTATTGTTATCAGTTATGATTTAAGATATAAGATTTCTTAATATTGCCCTCTACCCTGCTCCTCCCGCTCGATGAGCGAGTAATGATGGGCACGATTTAAGATATCTTAAATCATGAGACGGGTTTAGCTAGCATCCCTCTTAAGTCACACGTTTGGTATGTTGATGTCATGGATATTATATGAGACTCATTTTAGACTTTTACGGTAACCACTAAACCTTCATAGAAATTACAGTTTTAAGATACAATTATTGTCGTGGCTACTCACTTCGCAAACTGAAATAGTAACTCATTATTATTATCGATACGTTTTAAAAAATGTGCGTGAATATCTGTTATCACCTTTTGTGTTATCACACTATCACATTCGTTATCTATCCACACGTCACCATTCACCAGTGTAAAGTTGGTTCTAGAAGTGTCGATATGCGGTATTGCGGTAGGCGGGCGCCACCGAGCGTATAGCATGATATCGCTGAATTCGCTTTCCACTCGATGGCAAAAATGTCCCTCGGCCCCGCCGCATCGTAGAACGTAGTATCAAATTAAATAACATGGTCACAGATAATGCTGCAGTTCATCATTCATCATTTCATCATTTCCCCTGGCCCAAAGTCGTGGAAGTTTCTCTCTTGTCCGCAACCGACTGTGATATTATTATGTAAACGTTTTCCCGACTGATCCCACGTAGTGCTATCCGGTTTCGACAAACCACAAACAGCCTTCTGTTTACGCGACAGAAAATTAATAATAATTAAATACCTATAAAAAAAAACATATTTAGTCGGATGCAGGTCACAAACAACGATGCACTCACGTTCGTCGACTTCAAATGCAAATGTCGACGTTTCGAGTATCAACCACCATCGTACAATGGGTCACAACAGTATGATTGACATAATATCACTGGGGAACACGGTAAACACTTACGATACGTAGTGTTAAATTTTGTGAATCCGATCAGACGATACTACAATAGTGATCGTTGATGAAGTAAGTTGGTGTTAACACGTTTTTTTTTCAATGCACATTATTAACATTGATGTTATTTTATTGTTTTTATAGTGATACAGTACAGATTAAAGTTCAAGTTTTGAGACAAAAGTTGCGATGCAGAAGGAGGGCAAACCCAGGTTTCTAAAACATCATAGCAACAGTGTCCGGGGAGTAGCGTTTAGTCCTCGAGTATGTTAATATGTTTTTGAAGATATATTTTTAATTTACATAACTTTACATCATTATTTTTGTAGGACCGTTATCTATTCTGCTCTGGTGCTTACGATGGTAAGGTCAATCTCTATTCCTCGTTACGTATGGAATTACTTATGTCATATTCTATTACCACAATGGCTGTTGCAAAAAATGTAAATGCAGTTAGATTCACATCTGATGGTTCCAGGGTAAATATAATACACATTATTTAAAATCCTAAGGTATATTTTAAATTTCTGTAGATAATATAAATATTAAGTACCTATAGTTTGAAACTGTCATTATAACATCAATTGCAAACATAAATTATTATTTAAAAAGGTTAAGTGATAAAAAAAAAAGGTAAATCTACTAGCCATTAAGCAATAATTGTGAAATTCAACATTTTTTATTATCCTAATAATATAAAATAGATGATTAAGTAAGTAATTAAAAATCTAATAAGGATTTCTTTTCTATTGTTACTGGCAATCTGTACTTTGTAGTATCATAATTGTAATGTTTTTAATGTTGCAATAAATAAAAACAATACCACAATAATATTAAATGATAAGTTGTAATAAGCAATGATGCTAGGAATTTGCCCAAAAATCAAAATTGAAATCCTTTTCATAATGTCTATCGTTTTTTTTTTTTTATAAAGTTACTAATTAAATAGTTTTAATCTGTGTTAATTAATTTTATTTTTTAATGTGTTAACTAAATATTATAATATTTACTTTTATTTTATTTATTCAATTAAAAATAATATTATTGCTTTTAAATTTCTTTCTTGTATTTGATAATCTCTAGAATTATGTAAAATAAAAAACACATCCAAGCGTATAATTATAATGATAGATAAAAACTGCCTTTAAAATTTCAATTTTTATTTACATATTTTAATTAATATTGAAAACTTGACTAAAATTTATTTAGCATTCATTTTTGTAATTCATATTATTACTATTAGGTATATTACAATTTATTGTATTGTTAAGATTAAATCATTAATAAAAAAAAAAACCTATATTAGGAGAATTTTTGGCTTTTTTAATCATAAAAATAAGATGCATTTTAAGAAATCATATCTGTTATAGATTTTAGCGTGTACAACATCTCGGAGGCTTTCAGTTGTTGATGTTGAACGAGGAGAACAACTATTAGCTTATGATAATTGTGCAGCAAGTGGGAGAGATAGAACTGGTCTAGCTACTGATCCTACATCACCTAACATTGCGGTATCTGTAGCGGTAAATGGCAAAGGTCTTACGTTATTAGATCTTCGAATGCCTTTACCTCTAGATTATGTGTATGATGTTAGTAGCCAAACAAATGATATTGATGTATTGCCTAAATGGACCTTACAAGTAATTATAATTTTCATTTTTTTTTTCAGCTACATTCTAGTACTATTCGTGATATAGTTTTTCTAGAATCATCATGGCCCTGGGCAACTAGTAACGGACTTCTCAGTACTATTGTCACTGCAGGTTCAGATGGTTGCTGTAAAGTGTGTACAATGGATGGCCGAATATTGCACACATTTTATTCCGGGCGTCATCTGAACACTGTTTGTCCAACACCAGAACCTTTTCAAGGATTTTTGTCCAATGGATTTTATAGTACGCTAATTATTGGTTTTTACTAATTTTATTTTACTCAATATATAAAAAAAGACAAAAAACATTTATTTACATGATACATGATTTTAAATTAATTTATTTGCTTATTGTAGTAATTTATATTGTATTTATGTCAGGTGTAATTATGAGCGGGGGCGATAAAATTACGTCATATGTCCCTAATTTGGGTATTCAAGAGAGCTTCTGCGAAAACCGTGATAAACCGATTTGGAAAGTCAGATACACATCAAATGGTAGCTTTCTATATTCTGTATGTGAAGGTGGTGTTGTTAGAAAATACCGAAGATATCCAGATAGACACGAGTACCTCGGAGAAGTCTATACCCATAAAGGAGATATACAAGACTTGGATATATCTCCTTATGATGAATGTATCCTTTTAACCTTTTGAATGGTTAACATAATTAATTCAGATAGATAATTTAAATTACATTATAACTGTTATTTGTAAACAGTTGTAACATGTAATTACAAAATCCATAAATTTATTATATCTTTACTGCAGTGCTTGAAATGGACCGGAACGCACCGGTTCATAATACAGTTGAACGTGGTTAGCTTGAAGTTTAAAGAACTGGTCAGAAAGTTAGAATTATTCAAGAATTCAAGTTATCCAAGGAAAAGATTGAGGTATCAATGATTTCGAGTTAACTAAGTTCGACTGTATTAGCTTTTGCAACTGTTTCAGTTTCTAAAAATTGGAATAAAAGTTCTGGATCGTAAAAATATTAAGTAAATATCGAATAAAATCAAGGAAATTGACATCAGGTAAAACCTTTCCGACAGTATCCTAATCAAGGAGGTTAAAATTATTTAATTTCCTTTTGACGAATAATATAGTATAAGCTTAATATTCACCTGGTATCACATGTGTTACTGCTGACTGTCCTTTTTTTTTGTCTTATCACAATAACAACTTTATTATCGGAAAAAGCTAGTACTTACACTAAAATAAACTGCAAGTCCTAAACATTATTAAAAAATGTGTATATCTCTTTTTCCACTTAAATATTATTTTACTTAAAAATCATAAATATCAGTTTTTTTCACAATAATTATAACATGATGATCCTGACTTCTGTTGTTACTGCCAATAAAACCAATTTGAAAAAATTATTTGGCAATATGCTGAAATTAATTAAAATTCTTGTTCATTTGTATTTGTACCTTTAAAATTATAATTTTACCCTGTTCATTTTTTACTTATCGTTTTTGAACAATCACTTCATATTCATTTTATATGCTACCCGGTTCGTAACATTTTCCATTTCGAGCACTGCTTTACTGTATATAATCTATTCCAAACTGTCTGAAAGGTATTATAAACAATAATAATTCTTAAAATAATACAGTGGGTTAGGTTTAAGGAATTAAATTTTACAGTTTGAATAGAAACTTATTATTTTATTTTATTTTTGTACTTTTGTAAGTAATGACTACATTTTTTTGGATTAAATTTACTACTATTTCATACTTACATACTATAATACAATAAATAAAATATAATGTATGCTCTTACTCTTTTCAGTTTTTAGAAAGACAATCAAGTCTTTAACAAATTTCTTTTTTTATTACAGTCTTATTCAGGTACATTTCTATCATACATTTCTTGACCAGATTTCTGAAATGGGTCTGAAATCACTGTAAATAATTACCTCTTATACTTGTTTAATTAACATATCAAAGCAATTAGTTTGAGAATTATTAAATATTTTTTATAATACTACTTTGAGTTTAAATTAATTTTCAAAAGATACATTTAAATTTTATAATGTTTTTTCTTAACTTAGCTAATAATTAGACCTTATTACAGCATCCAAGGACCGAACAGTGGGAGTACTACGTCTGGGAGCTCCTAGTCATGGGTGGACAGACTATGGCGAACTAACGTGATAATTTGAGCAATATTTGGACGAAATACAAAATAAATATAGTTACAATATATTATGTAAATTTGTATACTTAAGAATATTATGTTATAAGGGAATTTTAAAAAGTTTTAACGCCAACCGATGCACCAAATTAAAGTGTGATATTTAATGTAAAACAAAAATTATACCATTTTGGACAAATTTTATTAAAGAAAAATTAAAAAGTATATTTATAGTTATTTTTTTAACAAATATAATTATATTTTTTTATTTAGTTAATTTATCAATTAAGTAGAATTTAAAATCAAGGTTTTCCATTACATTTAACATCTTTTTAAATCACTAGGAAAAATATTTGCTGTTATTCAGAAAATAAAATTTATTTAGTCGTTACTTATTTGAGAATGCTAAATAAATTCCTAAAATAATATACTAGCATATCGATAGTCTAGCTCATAGATGTGGTAAGTGACATTTTTGTAATTGTTCAGGAGAACGAAAATTGTGATTTTATATCACGCAGATTACATGCTCTACAACAAACTTTCCGACTTCTAGCGGACTAAATATGTACTATACACTTACAACATTTGTACACAATATGTAGAAAGTTGTCAACAAGACAACCATGCAAAAAACGAATTTTTCCAAATTTTGCACTTACAACATGTAATCGATATACAAATTTATTTAAATTTTAAATTTTCATTAGTTATCTGTTATACAACAATCGTCTTCAGTGACATGTAATATGTATAGGTACATATGTTTTTATGTTCACGTGTTTAAAGGTGATAATTACTTGACCTTCAATTCAATCATTAAAAAAAAAATGATTAAATCATAAAAATAATTAACAAACAGGCTTATAACAAACATTTATTCACTTTTCGCAGACCACCATTTATTATAATATGATTGTGTGTTATTAGTTATTACTTTTTTTTTTTTACGCTTAATGATTCATTTATTTTATAACAAACCTTAAAAACAAAGTTCAATCAAATTATTAAGCAGACAAATAATTTTTGGTCATTCATCACTGTTATTAGTGTTTTTTTCTTTCTCTCAATGTTACTAAATCTATACATTTTGTTATCATGTATTGCTTTTAATTATGTTTTTTCTTAACTTCACCTTTCAACTTAACACAATCCCTTTTTTTAAGTAAAAGTTTGGTGTTTTAGAAATGTAACATTTATGTATTCTTACATTGTATTAAATTACAATTACCCAACCGTTAAAGGAGTTTTGTATTTTTTTCTATTTAATTAATCTAGTTAGGTTAATTGTTAGAGTTGCAAAACCTTTTAACCCCATTATTTGCAAAACTTGAATAAATGCTTGTTTTTAAAATCTTATCAATGTATATATATACATAGGTATATGGGAAAAAACATGGAGATGTATAGGTAAAGGTAATGTGTAATAAGTGTATAACCAACTGCTTGCTAGGTGAAATGTCTGTGAAAAATAAAAATAAATAGGGTGTAGACAAGTTACCCTAAGCCCACTAACCCACAAGGCTCTTTTTAGCATTTAAAAAAATGTTCCAGTTGCTCTCAACCCAATGTAGCAAAAAAAAAAATCAATGTAAAATAACGCCTTTTGTACAAAGAGTGGAATTTTACCAACATAGGTAATTTGTATATTGTAACAATGAATTTTTTATTATTTTTTTTTTTATTGATCTTTTTGTAGCTTCGGCGACTTGGGCTATTAGCTTTTAACATTGCAACTTTAATACATTGAATATATTTTTGGTTGACAATTTGGTTACAATAATGGGGGGGGGGCTTTGTGACTTATGACTAAATATTACTTAAATGTATTTATCCCTAATTCGATGGTATTGAGTAATGGCATGACTTTCTGGTTGATATTGGGGTCCAATTATTTCGTATAAGTTTGTTGGTATATTAAGTTTTTCCATTCTAACAATGTATGCCGCTTATTATTGTCATTGAAAATATTGTATTTATTTTTTTATATGCATTTTTTTTATTATTTTATACTATAGCCGCGTCAAAATGTCGCATATTTATCTCCCCTATTTAACGCCATGTGTGGTATTATGGTCGTGTATATGATATTATGTTGATGGCAATTATTGGTTATTTTGCTGTCATTCATTTGTGGGGAGGGGGGTATTGGTATAAAAAAGGTGATATTGAGGGCAACTTATAATCGGTAGGTAAATGTCCAAAAATACATCATAATTTAAACACAAATATTCACCTATTGTAAGTGTACAACCGTGTTGATACACCTTTACCAAATTACCCTTTAATTTAATGGGACAGCGAGCGGCCAAAGGGCATAAGTGAAAATCACTACTTTTCGGGAAACGAAAAAAAAACTAGAATTTCTGTACAGTGTATTGACATTTAACCGTAAACATACAGAATTATATGGATATTAATTTTTTCAGAGATAATTTAAGATAAAAAAATGTGGGTAAGTGGATACCGGTCTGCGGTACAGTTAGAAGGTTACAATAGTTGGTCACTAGTGTAATGTGGATGATAATTGTATCAGCATGTGCCATGTATCAGAATTAAGAATGACGGCATTCAATTTGAATTCAATGATAAACCAGTGGCGGTTCTAGCGTATGGGCAGGGTGGGCAGCTGCCCATAAAAAAATGTCTGGTGCCCCTTATTGGGGAAAGGGGAGGAAATGAGGAATATTATTGCCAGTTAAAACCTAACTATAAATATACTGTTGCCCATACGAAAATGTAGTCCTAGAACCACGCCTTTGATATACATGTAATATTGCAATATTACAATAACTATTGTACCTATACCTAAGAAAAATGATTCTGAAATCTGAGAGGAGACGGTCTGCCAGTCAGCCAATATAGGTAATAATAATATTTTAAAATTTACACAATATGGACAAAAGAAGTTCAGTGTACTACATAGTTGTAGTAATTATTTATATTTTTAAAAAAAACATATAAATAATATCTTATAATCACACACGTGTTCCTCCCCTACCAACAAACACCTACAAAAAAAAAAAAAAAATACCTTATAAATTATAATATTATACAACTTAATATTTTTTAATGCGATTCAAGTTGTGTAATTGATTTTATTTATATCAGTAATTTTTGATAGTATTATAAATTTTAATGATATAACAATATTCCTAGTACTATCGCGTTAGTGGCCTAGCGGCTAAGGCCGGGCCAGGCCGACATTGAAAAGAACTTATGTCCTATTCCCCTCGCACGGCGCACCTCAATTACATATTTTGTTTATTGTGGCGAGTCGTGAGAGTGATGTCGTAGCGTATTTTAGTATAAATGTGTTAATGTAAATATATATAACTACTCAAACGTTCAAGTAACATTTTGACGAGGTTTGAAGATCGACTTATCATTTGTAGTTATGACGTTATTTGCACCATAGTACTGCAGGTGTCGACGTGTTTCAAATAATTGAGCAAGTAGAATACCTACTTGAATATGAATATATGATATATTATTTCCTAAATATCAAATAGCCATATAAGGTACCTAATTATAATAAACCTATACCTACGTCATAATATTGTTATTTAATTAATTATTTCAATCCCGGACGTTGAGTTATAGGTATAATTGTTAATAGGTTCTAATACCTTCAACAATGAATTATGAAATATTACTTTTTTAGATAATTTGTCTAACAAAATAGTAATAACTCACGTTGTATCTCCTTAATTGTAATTTGTAACTGACGTTTTTTAATGGAAGTGTGTCAATATAATACCCGTGAGTACATATGTTACTATAGGTATGTCAAAATATAATAGGTACAGGTTACACTATAGTTCGTCTGATCGGCATTATAATATATGAGTGTATGAGCATTGTGAGGTACGTATGACAGATCATCGTATATTGTAAGTATAGGTTATAGGTAACGGTAATAATGATTACTGTCATTATACCTAATGAGTAACGATTGGTAGGTAAATTATGATGTATTTTTAAATTACTTACCTAATAGTACATACTTATACCTATCTATTGTACATTTAAACAAATAGTTTTTAGATTCTGAGTGGAACGATGATTGCATTGATTTTACAATGATGTGTGTTTTTTTTATTTTTTATTTTATTTGTGTCTGTGTACACGATAAGTAGTCGAAATAATGCATCAATTTTCCACTTCAGTATCTTGTTCGATTGGAAAGTGAATCTAGTTGGTACTTTTGGGAGGTCAAAATTTAAAATTACCAATAGTTTTCAAAAGCGCCAGGAAAAATAAAATAAAAATTAAGGAAAAACGGGAGTTTTTACGCAAAATCGGTTTTTGACAAAATCGATTTAGGCTTTTGGTGTAACTTTAAAACAAATGACCGTAGATACATGCAATTTTCACGGGTTGTTTATATTTGCATTTTCTATACACGATAATATTTTCAAAATATTATGATTTATTTTGAACTGTTTAGGGACATTTTCAGTTTCCAATTTTATTAGTTTTTTTTTTTATGAATATCAATAAAATTAGTTGAGTAAAAATACTTGAACATTTAATAGAAGACTCCTAGTATATTGTTTCAAAGGCAGATGAAAAATATTAAAAATCCTTTATATTTCGTGGTTACAACTTATTTCGCGCTATATTTTCACTGAGAAAAATTGTAGTTTAAAAAAAAACTAAAAAAGGGGTTTTATTTAACTTATTAGTGAAGTAAAATTCAGAAAGTAAATTCTGATGACCTTCTACCTGGTATAATGAGTATGAATTGTATGATGGTCCTTTAACTGTTGAAGTGTGCTCAAATAAAATCTGGCGGGCTTTACTTGCTGTATCATCTTAGGCCTTTTGCCTTTATATTCATACAATTATTGTTGCCCATTTAATCTTCATTTCAATATTTTTATTTTTTGTTGGCACTTGTTCATACTTGGTAGTATGAAGTTCATATTATTATATTGTTATGCACTAGTATAGTAGTATTCTTATTTCTTATATATTATAATAGTATCTGGATGAATATATTCACATCTTTAATTTT